ATCAAAGGCATGGTACCAGCTCGTCAGTAAATCAGCGTGACAACATCAAAGGCAGGTCAGCCTAACAACATGCGACAGCGGGACAGAACATCCGTATGATTTCCAAGTCAGAGTGACAGAGTGACACAGCCTGTTACGGCATGACAACATGTCCGCACGACAACATACCAGCATGATCGCCTGGCTGCACGACGCCATGGTTTCATGTGGAACTTGCCAGAGCAACCTGCTGTGGAACCTGCTCGGGACTTGCTCCAATCTGCTCCGAAGTCTTTAGTATGGCTGAAGACCCCTAAGCTTCATCTGCCGTGTTTCCGTTGTCTTCCATCGGACGGACCTGTTGCTGCCCGTGTTCAGCGTGTGGACAAACAGCCGCGCAAGCACGGAATCGATGCCTCTTTTTCAGGATACCTCGCGGAGCGGGACGTGGACTTCGCCTATTGGCCGCTGAACGGCCTGAAGTACTCGGAGTCCTGGCGAAGAAGGAACGGCGAACGGCGATGGAACGGAGTCCTTGGTCGTTCCACTGGTGGGGGTTCGATTTCGGAGCTTTCCACCGGTCTGTGCGACGCCCAAGCCGTACACCTGTTGACTTCGAGTGAAGTGATGGTAGTCAAAGGGTTGGAACTGGCCATCCGAACCGAGAGTGTCCCTCTGCTGCACGTTTCGTGTATCGATGTTTTTCCACCAGATGTACTTCACAAAAATACACACCGTCCGAGTCATGCCTTTAACAGCCTTCAGTCCATCCTCGGTTTGAGATCTGGAGCAATTGTTGGATGTTGTTGGCAAGACATAAGGATCCAAAGTTGCCAAGATGTTCACTGACCATCAATCAATCCATGCGGGATGTAAAGACTCACAAAAAAACAGGAAGGTTCCCACAACGCTTTGCACCTCTCTTAAGATCAAGCCTATGCAAGAAGGCTAGGTACATGCATGGTACCACCAGATGCCCAGCTGGGAAATGTCATCTCTGCCTTAGCTCGGAATAAGGGCACTTGGAATCGGTTCGGACCTGGGGGTTGAAGTTTCGAAGCTAGTGAGAACGACGAAGCAGCAGCACATTGGAACAACACGAAGTGACCGAACTGCGCTTGCTGCCCAAGGAGGGTTATTTCACAAAGTCTGGCGTCTTCCACGAGTGGGATCATCCGTGCCTTCGTTTTTTGCAGAGGTTCAGCTGAGGCAGTTGTCTCACATTGATAGGGACAAATAAGTCAGGGGTAGAGATTGGGTGTCGGAGACTGGCGCCATCAGCACTTTCAAGTTCTGTCAGAGCTATTGGTACTGAGTTTCTGCCATCATATGCTGCTATATAGTAACGATGCTAGTGTTGCAAGCATTTTTTGAAGCATCGTTGGCATCAGCTCCATGCGCAAGATACGTCTGGGAGCTGTGTCAAGACAAGTGTAGCATTCTTTTTGCCAGAAAGGTTGGGTTGGTGGAGAGCAGACACTGGTTCCAGTCTTTCTGTCCCACAGTGGAAGAACTTTGATTTCCCAAAGTGTCTCTTCGAAAGTGGCCCACCTTGCGGCCGTTCCTTCCAAACACCGTCTTGGGACCAGAAATGAACACCGGGACCCATCGCGGTCGGGACATCCCCGACGTGAGGTCGGGTTCTTGAAAAAGCACAGTGTAGCGGATCCTTTGTACAGCTTTGAAGGATGTCTTGAAGAGGTTGCTGCAAATCCTCCAAATACAATCAGTACAAAATCGAGCCAAGTAAGTGGATCAAAGCCAGTCTCGAATCTCAAAGCAAAAACACACACTGGTCGATGTGACCGTTAACCAGAAAGCTCACACATTGTGTCGTTCATTCTCTTTCAGGGGCGTCAAGGGTCAACTGAGTCTTTTCCCATGTTGATCCACAACCATCTCCAAATTCCTGATCCCTGGTCTCCCTGGTCTGTTGCCCCTCTCCTTTGCCATGAGGCGCTGGGAAGATGAGCAGTTCGGGCTGCTGCTGATGCTTGGAGTCGAATCGATAGGAGATATCAATGGAGTTAAAATTGGGTCAAGGCTTTGCAGGGTCGGGTCCTTTCTGCATGTTTTGATCAGTTTGCATTCGGGCGTTTCTTGACCTCAAGGAATGTTGAGCTGTTGGACTCTAATCGAAGGCTCTCTTGAAGGAGCTTGCCACCTGTTGTGCCTTGTTGTGCTTTTGTCGGTACGACAAGTGCTTAGGGCTGCAGACAAGCCTCCACTTGCGGAGAAAACACCCTTCTCTGGGATGGGTTCTTGGTGGTGAGATGTTGAGACCCCTGTTGAAATCTGACACGAGGCTGAAGGAGTCTCACAAGTCTGTCGAGGATCCAGTGAAGGGCTACTGTTCGTCTCGGGCAGCTGTGCGGCTGTGCGGCCCAAATCCTGAGGAGATTAACCCAATTCATGAGTTACCAGTGGCCTTGTAGGCCTTTGAGGATACCCAAGGTAAGGAAAACCACTCTGTTTACTCCATTCTAAAGAACCGAGGCTCAATCGTCTAGATGTCAGGTTTCGATGTCTACATTTCAGATCATTTCAGTGAAACAACTGACCAGACCGCCCTTTTGAACAAAAGCAACATCTCTCCTTCAGCATGGCAACCATGGCATGGCAGACACCGAGGAATGATTCCTGGAGTGTCCGACATACCTGGAAGCTTTTGGACATCCAGGCCCGCCCCGACTGCCGTGTGGAACGGGTCAGTCTTCGGAAGAACGAAGCAGAGCCTGCCTCGTCTCGCCTTGTCTCGCCTCACCAGTCGAGGCACCAGCTCTTTGCGTGTCCGAAAATTGTGGCTTCGACCTCCGTAACCATTTATTGGATTCAAATCCAAGTTTGGCGTTGAGCACCTCCCTGAGAAGGAATCCAGTATTCCTTTTTTCTGTTGACCTTTGAATTCTGGTCACCAGCTCGTTGGACAGTACACTTTGGGATCGAAATGTCGGACACCCAAACAGATTGCCGGTGATGATTCGTTCGTCTCTCCCCGCCCTAAGCAGCTTGCATATTCTTCGTTCGTCTCCACAAGGGGGCGCACAGGGCGAAGAAGCCCATCGTTCAACGGCCGTCCATCGGTCCGCTCGTCCCAACAGTTGGGTCGAAATGGTGGTCCACACAAGCTCGTGGGGCTCGTCGTTGATCGTTGGTCGTTGTTGGGTTGAAAGCAAATGCTCAAATGGTGTATTCCAAAAGGGAGGACCTTTTGGCCCAATGGGGTCGCCTAGTCGGTGTTCGACTGTCCAGATCAACGTCTCCAAAGAAATGCCCGAGTAGGAAGAGGGGAATCATCTGACCCATCCGCATTCCAACGATTTGCGACCAACACAGTGCAGGACCGCTGACCCATTTTCCGCTTGGAACGAATGGGTGGGCCACTACCCCCCCTCATCACCGCAGCTCGAAGCCTGAATTTTGTGGCTTCTTCCCCCCAACTCCAGTGGAAGCGAGCTCAGCTGCAGCTTCGCAGCTGCATGTCTGGTCTTGGCGGCTTTTTTGGGGCCGAGTTTCCACATGGCATGGCGGCATGGCTTTTTACGTAGCTCCCTGAGGTGCCAGGGGATTGCAGGTTAAAGTAGCTCTGGCAACCCTTCTTGCATATCGCTGCATGCAAACCTGAGGTCTTAGGATGGACATCCCCTTCAGATGTGTTCTAGATTCTAGATTTGTTCAGAGATCACTTGGTTCTCGAACTTGTAGGAACGTGTAGAAACTTGTCTTTTTTTTTCTCAAAGGGTCCTTCCAAAGTTGTTTTCGTTGGAGTTTCCAAACAGCTCAAAATCTTTCCGAGGAACACCTCTCTGCTCTGCTTTTTTTTGAGGCGCTCATGGACTCTCCGGTGAAGTGGACGCCTATGGACTCCGGCGGTGTCGGTGTTGTGGAAGAAGCCATGCCGAGAAGCACCAGAAAGATAGGATTTGGGGTACATTTCAGCTGGTTTTCCCGTGCTATTCCCGGTCAGACATGGCTTTTTGCTGGTGTCAAGCCCCAACTGTGCTAGAGGTTGGCCGCTATTTTTCTTTTGGTCTTTAACACCAGGCCAGATTCAGATGCTACGTTGGGGATCAGGATTTTCTACCGTGTGAATGCTGTCCTTTCTAGCAACTACGGGTTTGACTATGACTGGGTGGCTGAGGCAGTGGGTAGATCGCACAGAGTTTTTATGCACAGCTTTTATTGATGGCTGCGGCATCTACACTGCAGGTGTTGTGTGGTTCTTTGATGCAGAACGGCCAACGACTGGTAGTCCAACTACTACCTCCCTACCTCCCGAGTTCACCTCCCAACCTACTGCTACCGCGAATAGATTCCACTTATGCGACTATTGCTTTATATAGTTTCATTTGTGTAACACTCTCTTTATATAACTGCTTTGTGGGGATAGCTAATTGTAGATCAAAGGGAACAACTTACATGTTCTGGTAACACCAATCAATCGCCACCTATTTCGGTCGGGGACTTTTGTGTCGAAACTGAGGGATATAGCTCCTACCAGCTTGAAGCAATGGATTCCCACACCAGACTGGCATACTCGATTTGTTCTTCCTGATTTATGTTTTCCGTCACAGTTGCATTTGACAAGCGTATGCTTCAGCCAAAGCTGCTCTGACAAACATCATGCAGCCCCAAACAAGCTGACACACCATGATGGAGTAAAGTAAAGGAATTCATCAGTCAGCAGGTGGATAGCAAAGACACAGAGAGGGGATCAATCATTTTGTCCAAGATAGCATTGCATTATGCCAGCAAGCATCTAGGCTCAGATGTGCATTCAGCTGATTGCCATCTTGACCACACGCGGACCTCCAAGAAGGGACATAGTTCCCAGTGTCTCATCTTCAGCGTCCATCTGATTTCTGGTTTTCCTGCGTTTCCTGCGGTATGGTGAGACAAACTAACTCCTTCCAGAGAGTATGCCCTCATCTTCATAACACCAGAAGGTCGGGGCGCCATCGCTAGTAGGTTGGAGGCCATCGCTCTTAGGTTGGAGGCCTTCGCTAGTAGGTTGGGGCGCCATGTTGCTTGCTCCCACCAGCAGTCGCCCCAGCAGTGGCCCTAGCGGTCGCCCCGGTCGCGACTTGATGCCTGAGACGCTTCCCCTCGGCCACAGCGGGGCCCGAGGCGGGACCAGGGCGTTGGGAAGGGTGGAACGTGTCTGGCGCGGATTCGAGGTTTGGAAGGCTACACATGCAGATGTGTCGGATTTGTGTGAGGGAGTAGAGACATGAACCAATATGGATGTCATTTGGCTTGATTTCACTATGCAGCTGCAATACTTTGTGCAGCGCGCCATTGTGGTTTGGGGTGTTTCAAACGTGGTGCTTTTGAGCAAATTGATGCCCAAGTCTTTGGGGTTGTGTCTTCAGGTTTAGTGGACTCTGCATCCTGCCTTGACTCCATGGGTCTTGGCTGCTTGGCCCTCATACTTCCTTGCCACCTGCGGAGCACACGCAGATTGCGCAGCAGACACCCGTGGCGCACACCACGCGGGGCTGCCGGTTCAGCTGCCTCTGCCTTGCGGCGACAGGTGCCGAATGTGCTGACGGCCATGAGGGTCCTGCTGGCGGCGTGCTTGAAGTTGGAATGCTGGTGTGTTCTCTTTTCAGTAATTATCGCCACTTGTTTTCGGATTTGAAGCATAGTTTGTATCTTGGGAGATTCTTGGGGAAGAGAACAACTCTAAGGGATATGCTGGTGACGTAGGTGAATGTGACCAGTTCATGGAGGTGATAAAATCATAGATTAGATACAGTAGCATGAGCGGCATTAGCGGCACAAACAGAAAACTAGATGAAGAGCTCGTGGCCATGCGCTGCAAAGGCTGAGAACATGGAGCAACAAATGGCAATCGCTCCAGTGCTCCAAGGACTATTGACACAGAACATCCCTAGAATTTGAACAGTGAGGGGTGTCCTTCCAATTTTGTGAAGTGGGGTCTTGTTTTGTGACCAGGGTGGAAGGGTCCCTTTCAAAAAGTGGAGGTGTTTGACTCTTGTATGATACAATCATAAGGTGTACAGTGAACTATCTAGATCTGAGTACTTGTACACCTTGCAAGTTCCACCTTGCTGGTCTGATACTAGTTACTAGATTGTTAAATTGTGAAGTTGCAAGGCGAACCCGATCCAAGTCATAGGTACAATTCGATCCTGCACCTAGCATGGGAACCTGCACCGAGCATGTACCACCTTCAAGAGCTTGTCCTGCAGTGGATGGTCTTCGCCGAGGTTTTTCTTATTTCTTCACGGTGTGTGCCAGATAAACCAGCGATCGGTAAAAGATTATCACAATTTATGAGAAAGGTCTGCAACCTAAGCATCATCATCGACGGTTCCTGGTATTGGGATATACCCTACTTATTCATAGTTTCTGTGGAAAAGCTGACTTTGGATTGGATTGTCAGCGGATGTGGTGACCAAAACTAGCGGTAAGCCGCTAGCATCATATTCCACCATGCTGATTTGGGTGTTGCCAAACCAACTGCACGCCTGGATTCTCCGTTGTTATCCGGGTGGCTGGTCGTTGGACAGATTTTTAACTCGAGCATACTTAAGCAACGGGCCCAATTAGATGAACCAAGCCTCGTTGCAAGCAATAACAGGATAACATTGAACAGCAATCAGACAACTTCTTGAGGCAAGCAGCAAAGCACAACAAAAAGCCGGACAGAAAAACACAATTACTACTAGGAGCAAGAAGCTACTAGGGGCTCCTGGCCTTACTACTAGGAACAAGGACGCAACGAACGGGGCTCCTGGCATCGCTACTAGGAGCACATCGCAGGCAAGCAATGTTTGGAAAGCTTTTTTTCGCTAAGACGTTTCACTCCGAACCCAGCAGAGGGAAATCGTTCCTTCGACCTACTCGTAAGGTTTTTCTTTTTTTCGTTCCCCAGAGAATCAGTTTGTAAGACTTCCAAAAACAAGACCTGCTCAAAGCCACTTGAACCCACACACAAGCCACAGATGGCTTCCTTCAGATGGCTTCTTTCAAGACCTGCATTTGATCCATCATGATCCGTGATGATTTTCTTGCACCCCGGATCAGCACCCAGGTGGTGCCCATTGTGGCTCTCTTCTGCTGGGGCGATCGTCGACTCTGCACGGTGCTCTTTGCGCTGAGTTCCTTGACCGACTTCTTAGATGGATACCTGGCAAGGCGCTGGGAGGCTCGCAGGCTGTCGGGAGAGGGAGGGGCCCGAGCATGTCTTGCATCGAAAAGCTCATTCTTGGCTGCGAAGTTCTCCTTTTCAGAAAAGAAAAAAGACACTCGTTCAAGATGTTGAAGAGGGATCAATACACCTGGCATTCAAAAGATATGATTTTACTCCATCTCTGGTGCATTTGCCACTCAAACTCCCAGTCGCAGTCGGCCAGCTGGGTTCCCAGCTGGCCGCTTGGCATCGGAACGATGCATCGGACGATGCAGGTGACGTCGCCCTTTGGGAAGTTTTTGGACCCGGTGGCGGACAAGCTCTTAGCCTGCTCTGCCACACGGTTGGAAGAAGACACCGGTTTCTGGTGGGTGAACCGTCCGGGGAGGCCTCCCTATCTCATTACACACCCATGTGGAAGATGTAGGGTCGCTTTGGGTGGAGGGATACTGTAGCTGGTCACAAGGGTTCATCTTCTTTTCGCTAAGAGTGATTTTGGGTGCCATCCACATGTGATTGGGTCATTTGTTTGATTGGGATGGGTGCCCTTGAGGGGCGGGTCATTTCAGAAATGAGTATATAGGTAGCTGTACGCAATGACATATCACTTGTTGTGTACATAGTATATATATATATACAGATCGTCTATCTCTCTAAATGTTCATAGACACAGGAGGCGAGTCTTTTTCCTTCCAGTTTCAAGTGCGATGAGTTCTTGGACCGGCCATTCCGTTCGACAAGACTTTCCAATTGACCCAGGGACCACGCATGTGGGACCAAGTTTTGCCATCGCCCAAGATTTAGATCAACACCGCCTCAGGTCTTGGTCTTGCTGCCCACCGCGTCCGGATCGGCCTTCGCGCCGGGTCTGCTGGCAGTGCCGGCGGTGCTGATCATCCTCCGAGAGATCTTTGTGAGCGCGCTGCGGGAATGGACGGCCATGGCAGGTGGAGCGAGCATCAGATTGAAACACTGAACGTTTGTTTATAGACAAAAAAAGAAGAATCTAAAGCAGCTCTGCAGAACTTTAAGATTACGCCAGCAAAGATCCCAGATAGCACAAGATGTTTGTGGGCAGCATGAGACAAGCACCCACACGCTCCGAATCGTGCACTGCCATAGCGGCACCCTGCAGCGGCCTGAAGCAACACCAACACGCAGGCTCCAAAGCTCAAACTGCCATAGACATTTGGCAGCAACCGGCAGCGGCACCTTGCATCAGTACCAGCACCCAGCACACTGCCAAGCAACACCCTGCAGCGACACCCACAGCGGCACCCTGCAATGGCACCCTGCAATGGCACCAGCACCCAAGCTCCAAAGCGCGCACCGCAGAGAGATTTTGGCCGGCGTGCACCAGAGAGGTGGACCATGCATGTGCATGCCATCTGTTGGCAGAGTTTGATGTGGAGGCAATGTCTGGGCACACGCTTCGCAGATCAGAAGTCAAGCGCTGGGTGAAGTGTGGAGTTCCGACAGAGTTGATCATGTACCTGCTCTTCAGCCACTCTGGGCTGCATGGAAGATGCTGGGGCACACTCACCAGCATTCCACCACTGGCTCACCACTTTCGATAACCTGCAGTCTCAAATGACGGCCTTGGGAGACCTAGGGATGGCGTGACAGAGAAATTTGAGAAGGAGGATGAGGAACTGGGAGGCCACCAGTGGTGGTCACCCTAGGCACGATGAAGGCTTATGCCACCTCGGACCAGATGATGTGGGCCATGGCGCACGGACGGCCGTGCGTGCAAGCTTGCCATTTTGTCAAGAATGTGGCAACGCGTGATGATTTGCCACTAGATTCCATGCTGCGCAGTAGATGCTTGCTTCAACTCTCATACTGTGCAGCGGCGTGAGGAGTTTGGAACAGGATCTGGCCGAATCGGTGCAACAGACAGGGCCCGAAGATATGCGTTGTAGTGTGAGGATGAGCCAGTTTGTGAAACATACTTGGGCCAAGATCTCGAGCACGGCAAATTTCGTGCCAATGTCAAGTTCACGACACAGTTGAATGTGGACCTCAACGCGTTCCACCATTGGAAAACCAGGGGGCCTCAGGTCGCGCGTTTCACGGTTGAGGGTCCATGTTTCTGGTGTTTGCATATCATGCAACTTGGTTTGGATTGTTGGAGGTGGGTGTTGAGATTTTTGCTCCGATGCGGACCTCATCACACAGAGACTTCGAGGTACCAGATCTCAATTGGTCCAGAGAGAAATTTGATGTCTTTTTTCTTAGTTCGAGAGTGGCTGGCTCAGAGTGGCTGTCTCCTGTGTTCGAAGTGGAGAGGAGAGTTCTCCTGGGCTGCGCGACAGACGCACATACGCGCACGCACACACACACACACACTTAGACTCAGACTCAAAGTTCCGGTGATGAATGTTCATTTTCAGTGTGTCTCAGTGGTGAACACTTAGCGCTTGACTCGCAAAACTACAAGGTGATCAGTCAGTTCAAAAGAATTGTTGAACAATCGCAAACGTCAGCAAAATTAGGAAAATTAGTGCGGCAACTCGCAACGATGTTTGTGAACAAAACCTGACAGACCTGGAAACAGCCTGCAGAAGGGTGGACCAGTGGAGTCAGTGTGTTGTCGAGCAGGTACGTCAGAGTGGCCAACTCTGATGTTATGAGATCAAAAGGGCGTCTTCGTTGGTGGCGGTCACAAATGATCTGCCGCTACCTCCTGCTGAACGAAAAGCCGGCATACAACCAAAGTATGCCTTGGAACGGGGGGTGACACACTCTGACATTGGTTTGCTGTTAACTCAATTCCCACGTGGAAAGTAGGTGAGGGAACGGCAAGGTGAAAAGTCCCAAAAGTTGTAGATGTTTTAACAAGTGGTTTATGCGCATCTGCAGAACTCACGACGGCAGCTGCAGCTCAAAGCGGCTCAGTGGCTGAAAGCGGCGGAGGGAAATGTTTTGGGGTCTATTGTGAGAACCACCATGAAACAAAGCGAGGAAGAGTGGAGCGACTGCTTGAAAAACAGTTCAGCAGGTACACGGAGGTGATCAATCTCCGCATCCCGCATCGTGGAACAGCTTCGTTGGCACAGGAATCCACGATGGGCCTGTGCCCCCCGCATTAGTGGAACGAAGACCCTTAGGAACAGGGGTTGACACACACAGGTAGCCGAAGTCGGCGCAGGCACATGAAAAGGTGGCGTCATCTGCTTTTTTCTCAAAAAACGCCGGCATGCTGTTGGATCATGTCCTTATGTGAAATGTCGTGTCCTGTACATCGTGGAAGTCGAAGAGTCTGACACATCCTTGAAATCGAAAGTGCAGCTGCAACAAATTCGAAACAACAAGCTCTTGCATGCATGTCGCTATCAAATCCGAAGACACAGAAATTCCGTAAGATGCCCCGCGGCTTTGAATTCTGTTAATTCAGTAGTGACACGGAAGCAGTGAAAGTGATCCAGGATGAAAGGACGATAAATCAGGAAAACGATTTCCGGTATGAAAGCAGCGCCTCCTTGCGGAGGATCACACCCAGCACCCAAGTGGGACGGCTGAGCGGTTCACACTCTGACATTGGTTTGCTGTTAACCCAATTCCCACGTGGAAAGAAGGTGAGGGAACGGCAAGGTTGTAGATGTTTTAACAAGGGGTTTATGCGCATCTGCAGAACTCACGACGGCAGCTCACAGCGGCTCAGTGGCTGAAAGCGGCGGAGGGAAATGTTTTGGGGTCGATCGCGAGAACCACCATGAAACAAAGCGAGGAAGAGTAGAGTGACTGCTTGAAAAACAGTTCAGCAGGTACACGGAGGTGATCAATCTCCGCATCCCCCATCGTGGAACAGCTTCGTTGGCACAGGTATCCACGATGGGCCTGTGCCCCCTGCATTAGTGGAAACAGGGGTTGACACACACACAGACACACACACACACAGCCGCAGAGCGGCGCACTCTTGCCCTAAAGAGGAAACGAAGCAGTAGACAGCGTTGGTATTACTTGGGTTCTAGGAAATACCCCGAAACCGATTTCAGCGGAAACAACGCAGTAGACAGCATTGGCATTACCTAGGTTCTAGAAGAAAGACGACTTAGCCCTTGACTTGCAGAAACGAATGACTACTTAGCCCTTGACTAAAAGGCCTGATGACGCACCTAAAAAGCCTCTAGAAAAGAGTCAAACCTAGGAAAAAAAACAAAAAGGGAGGAGAGAAAGGAACGAAGCCGAGGGGTAGGGTCGGCAAACGAGCCTCAAGAGCAACCTAACAAGCCTGAAAGAACACCTAACAAACGAAGAAAAACGCAAGAGAGAAAAACGAGGGGGGGGGTGGAAAAACCGTGTGAAACGAGGTTATTCCAGCAAGAAGTCTCCATGTGCTCGGCAGCATTGTGTACAGTTGATTCATGAATGTCAGGCCAGCAGAAAGTGGCAAACCGGTGAAAATCGAAAATTCAGAAAAGCGTCTCTCAAGCTGGTTTCGGCACCCCTTGCGGGGATCACACCGAGTGGGAAGATGCAGCAAGTCACACTTAGACTCAAAGTTCCGGTGAGGGAACATCATTTTCAGTGTGCCTCAGTGGTGAACTCTTTACGTTTGACTCGCAAAACCACAGGGTGATCAGTCAGCTCAAAAGAATTGTTGAACAATCGCAAACGTCAGCAAAATTAGTAAAATTAGTGCGGCAACTCGCAACAATGTTTGTGAACAAAACCTGACAGACCTGGAAACAGCCTGCAGAAGGGTGGACCAGTGGAGTCAGTGTGTTGTCGAGCAGGTACGTCAGAGTGGCCAACTCTGATGTCACCAGATCAAAAGGGCGTCTTCGTTGGTGGCGGTCACAAATGATCTGCCGCTACCTCCTGCTGAATACGAAAAGCTGGCATACAACCAAAGTACCCCTTGGAACGCGGTGTGACACACACACACAGTCAAACAAAAAGGTTCAAGGACATTCAAGACATCTTGAAGTACGAGCTGGGTTCTCCTTCTGATCAGCCTTTCGTTTAAACAAGGAGCGCTGTGGCATGTCCAATTAGCAACAGACTTCGAAGGCCGACGTTTACGTGTGGTTATCGAGTATTTAGTCGACCATGTGAACATCGGTCCAGCTATGCAAACCCTGTTTGGGCGGCAGAGATATTTTCTACCAAGTTCACAAGTAGTGGCAAACCAACAAATGCAAAACATCATGTTTTTGAGAAAGGACAGTTGCAACTGAGTAATTGACTGGGGCTAAATTGACTGGTTTGACAGCCAACCTGTTGAGCGCAGGCCATAGCACTTCAACTCAAGTGGGTTTTCTTGGATGCTTGGAGCTGTCGAGTCATTGAACGTTCATCGAAGCATCAGCAGGTCATGAAGTCTGTGTCATATCAAACACTCCAGTATTCAAACGACAGGTCAGTTGCTATCCTTGACATTCGGTTCATTCCCAGCTTCAAAAATATATCTTTTGTTCAAGACCATCTAAAGATATCATGAACTCTCTTCTCCCCCGTTTTGAGCTTTCATGAAGTGGATGATGAGCCAGTCTCAAACAGATCCTGGGATCGCCAACTAATGGATTCCAGATCGCAACCAGGGTAGATCGTTTTATGGCCAGGCATGCTATCGGCTCCGGTCGACGGCACATGTAGATTGGCACCCAAGTGATTGCCTCAAGCTACAAGTGTGGTTTGTGTCAGATCTGTACACAGGGGCACAACTAGCATTCATGGCATATCACAGGAAGTATACATAGCCTTTGATCACCTCTGCACCGTATGGGTGTGGACGTGATTGACCCTTACCCCAGACATGTCGGTCTACACTTACTGACTTGACTAGCACCCTGTTTTGAAGCCACAAGCTCTTGGGCCAGAAGTCTGTCGACTTTGTGTCCTCAGGAAAGCTGAAGACTGCTGTGATCCTCGTGAGTTTGTGTGGCCTTTTAGCCACCTGCTTCTGAGCTGCATGTGCTTGAGAACTGCCTCGGCTGGGCGGAACTGCACGGCTTTCCCAAACATTTTTTTGTAGGAAAAGACCAATGATGCCTTGGCAAGGGTGCTCATTTCCCCAAAGTTTCGGATGTGTCCGAGCAAGTTGGCAAACTACGTCTTGCCTTTGTGGCTTGATATCATCAAAAGTAGGAGAGGGTATATAGTCCTTCGGGGTGCTTCCACTGGTGAATCAGATGTTTCGTTTGAATTTTGCTTCTACAATTGAGTGTTTTTCTTTGGGCCGCTCATCATGCTGAGAAGTTCTGAGCTTGTTCTCCGGCAGATGTAAGCTAACGTCTCATTCTCCGCACGATGTTCTGCAGTGAAGCTGCAGTTCTGCACACAAATCTCCCAGAGTAGCCAATTCAAAACCTTCCCCGAACAGTCTTTAAGGGTGACCAATTATGTAAGTCACAGGTTCATCATGTTGGGTCCCTAGCCACCAAGACAAGGCCCCACTTAAACTGTTGAGAAAAGAACGGTTAGCATAAAAAGCAAAACTATTCCCAACACTTTTGGCGCAGAGATGAGGTCTTCACACGAGCTTTATGGGTATATAAGAAGAGTATATAGGGGAAGCTACAACACACCTTATGAACTCTGAGTTTTGGCTTCCCAGGCTTTGTTCTGCTTGCATGGCTCATGTGGTTCAGAAATAGCTGTAGCACTGTAGCCTGAAACTTTGCTCCAATTCTTCGCGGTGAAGGTGGTGAAGGGAGATTTGGCTCATCTACAATTCAGTCCTCCAAGAAGCTACTAGGAACAAGTGCCACGCTAGTAGTAACAGGTGCCTTACTAGTAGTAACAAGAAGCTACTAGGAACAAGTGCCACGCAGGTGCCAAGTTCCAAAAGGATCCGTCCCATATTTTCGGTCAAGTTCTGGGCTCTTACAGGGCTCTTACAGGATTCAACCACGGTTGGTTGACACACTCGAAGATGCATCTTCTGCCCCCGCAGGGGGGAGAACATCCAGTTGTTCATATGCATTCCTTCCTTCCCTGGTTTTGCTTAAGGTGATTTTGATTCCCTATGGGGTGAATCCCCTTCTGGTGACTATTTTGTATTTTTTCCCGGCTTCCTGGACAGCAAATCCAAGCTTGTAATGTATCGTTCCAAGGCGATCAGGGTCTCTCTTCTTCGATCTTCCGAGTGGCTGTGCTGCTGCTTTACCTGGGCACCCTCTTGGACGCCCGGAAGAGCCGGTTAACCACGGTGATCGGGCGTATGGATTGGGGGAGAACCGGATTGCGAGGTTGACTTGCTGTTGGGTCGAGGACTCGGCAGGTACTATGTTGTTAGATAACTGGTGGAGTAGCGTAATGTCAACAACGGATTCATCAACACTGAGGCCTGTGTGAGGGGTACCCTTTGTGAGTTTGAACACTTCAAGATGTTGATAGAGTTTTAAGAAGGGAAAACGACATAATTTTGCTAGAGAGGTGTTTAGGGATTGTGGAGCAAAGATTACTTGGAAGAACATTGGCAGCTAAGATTGCAGCTTCTGGGGGCAGATAGGCTTGATTAGTAGGGGGTGCTTACTCAATCCTGTGTGCGCATTATGTTTTACTGTATCTGCGATGATGGGCGAATTGGACATGAATCACACGTCTTCTCACACCGTGGTGGAACCCGCTTCAGAGATGCAGCCACGACATGCTCAGCGAGGCCTATGTCTCGAGTGCCGACTATGTGCGGAAGTCGCTGCCTTCCTTCCAGTGACACCGGCTATGGGCCGCACTTGAGGCGGAATGGCAGATGGAACGGTCGATGGTCTCACCATTTCGAGCACCAAGGTGGAAGTGTCTTGTCTCGCAAAGGAGTTGATGGGTGTACTCATGAACATCTCCATGTCTTGTTGAGCTTCAGAACACTAGACTATAACTGCTATTTATCACTGCCCTTGAGAGCTTAGGGTTTAGGGTTTACTAATCTTGAATCATGTCTACCTCATGCCGACCATCCAAATCGATCTGCCAGCGCGATCGACCAAGCCACTGGGTCAGCAGAAAAGAGGCCGTCCCGGGGGGGACAAAAAGGTGCCAAGTCTTGGGTTTGTGTGTCTTTGGTCTATCAGAAGTTATGTTGGGAAGTTTGTTTGCATCTTTGAAGATGCTCCAGGCTGTATGTTGTTGATTAATTATTGCTGTTTGCGGAGTCTTGTACGAATTTGTGCCAAAATCCACTATCTTGCCTTTTCCGACTCCCGAAAAGGGACACGAAACAAACACCGGGATTATGGCTCGTTTTCGCTTGCTTCTGAATTCGTCTGGCTTGAACCCGGACATTCCTGGAGAGCCCAGAGAGCCCAGAAGCGTCGTTAGAAGGCTTGGAGGCTCAGGCGGAGGCGTCGAGGAAGGCTGATGTGTCGGGGATGAAGCATCAATGAACCAAGAGATCCACTCACGAAGTGGCCAGGGTGATTCATGCTCCAGCACTACACTTGTAGTTGTAGTGACAGAAGGAACATGTAAAGAATTTGGAGTTCTTCAATCTCAGCAACTATTGCGGTGGAGGAGCTGCTAGCTGCTAGCACAAACATCGACCACCAAGGAGAGGCTCCATCACCCGGTCTGTTGTCATGGGCAGCAGATGACCCATCCCCACATAGCATGAGACATACGGGCACAGGTGCCATTCGCAAAGAACCAGCGGGATGCAAGTCACTGATCAGTTCCCACCAAGTCATCCCACTTTTGAGGGACTGAATGAACAACTGCTTGTGTCTCCATCAGTGATCCAACTGTGGAGATCCCCACCAGTGACCGAACCAGAGGGGATCTCCACAAGCTGACCGAAGCAACCAGGAAGTTCTGCTTTTATCAAGGGAACGGTCAACGGAAGAACCCCTTCCTTTGGACATCGGTCATTCGCCCGTCCGCAGGACTATCCTTGCGTCCGGCAGCAGTTGGGGAGTGCCTGTGGTTACTGAGCGCACGAGAGCCGGGTTCTGGATGGATTCCAGCTTCGATCAGCCTAGTGTTGACAGGCTTATTTTGGGTGGACTGCTCTCATCAAGTATGTCATTTAAGCAGGTGATTTGGTGACCATTTAGTAAACCATTCAACATCTACTAGTTGGTCGGAACTGCCACTAAAACACAATCATTTCCATCGTCGCACGGCCGCCGGCCACACCGAGCTAGAGGGTCGACGGCCATACCTTGCAGGCAACGACCGGGTAAGGAACAGCCGAGGGAGTGGAAACATGGGTTTAAAACGGTTTATCAGGGAGTGGACGTCCATAGTGCACCTGCATTTTACAACTTTGCTTCCCCGAAACCAAATCCAAGTGCAGCTGCTTCACTCTTCTTGCAACTCCCGCGAAAGAATCGACCCGCATTTCGGAAGCTGGGATCATAATGGCGATGGTCAAAGCCAATGCACTCAATAGACTTCTTTTCACTCCGTGGCCGTTTCAACAAATCCAGTTGTCCCATAGATTTCCTCTTCAACGTTGTACTTGTTCCAGGGGCTCATCTGAGTTTGCAGCCCAATTCAGTCGATGAAGACCGGTTTGCGGTTTGCAGACGCACAATGTGCGTGGCAACGAGCAGCGGATGACAAGAAGTTGTCCAAAACGACTGCCCGTTTGCTAAAAGGAGCCGAGCGATTTTGGTGCTTGCCGAGGTGAAGAGTCGGAGTGGTGAAACCCGACGTCGCTCGAAAAAAGACCGGGGTTGAAAGTGTTTTCACATCGATTTGAATGTGGTCCATGTTTTTTGGTATGGACATCGAACAACCACTTGGAAGACGGATCAGCAGACCGAGACTGAAACGGCGTCATGGTGACGCCCGAAAAAACACGGAAAACACAGCATAGTGGCTTCCGGTCTTGATTGATGTGAGGCAAAAGCATTTTAGTAAAGATTCCGATTTGGATGATTTGGAACTGGGCTTGGCCCTTTATTAGGGGCAGTGCAGGACTATCATGACTCAACATCCTTGCTTTGCACCAGGGGTGAACTGCCCAACGACCAAGGATAGACCACCATGATGACTGTGGCCCTTCAAGATGGCTGGGCCCCACAAATACCAAGAGCTCGGGCTTTGGCTATTTATCCCTATTCAATAGGTAATGCGACTGCTTTGGGGTTTCATCGTGGTGCAACTAGGGCAGCCCACCACTGACAGGTAGGAATGGACCACCCACAGCTGCCCACTGCTCAAGTCTGACAGATTGGGTTCCACAAATGCGAGTGGTGGACTGGTCAAGCCTTTCAAGACATTGAACCCTGGCAAGACATTGAACCCTGGCAAGACATTGAACCGTCAGCTGCAGATTTCAGTGCAGCACACAGGAAAAAAGTTTGCCTGCGAGCCCGTGAAATGGGCACTCAGAACACAAAACTTGTGCGCAGCTAACGAGGAAGAGAATCCGTCAGCCTAGTCAAACTCACTTGAGCAACTGAGCCAGAACTGCACCGGACATGAAATGCATGTGGGGAAAAAGCAACTACAAGCCTGTGTCTTTGGAGTACCATTTGAGTCAGGTTCTGATCTCCATCTACGGCTTCCCATTTCGCTTAGTTGAGGTCCGCCACGATTTTCGTCCAATTTCATTTCACTTCGGGAAGAAGGATCAAAGGGGGGGCCCCTTTTGACAGGTTCCCCAGCAGGGCAACCCTATGGAAACAACAAGCTGGAAAGATAGCTTGATATGGGTTGTCTCATGGCCAGCCTTGAAGTAGATGGAGCAGTGTGTCCCCAAATGCAATGTATTGGACATGGAGCTGCGTTCTCCATGCGGGGACCTGCTCGACCTGTGTAAGGGTGTTGTTGGCCATACTAATGACTCCCCCAACCTCCCAGCGCTGCAACAGCAACTTGTCCCGGCCATCCGGTGAAACGGGCGATGGCAGCCTTTGACCCCCCACGGAGGCGGATCGGTGGGAAGTCTTCTGGCCTTCAGAGTTGATGAATCTAGAAGTTGGGGTGGCTGTGGCGTATCAGCCGGATGCTTGTTTCAGCAAGTCAGGGCAAAGTTTACTGCCTGGTGAACCACACTTTCGGAACCTTGTCGAGTGATTCGCTTTCGGAGGGTTCATGGAAAGTTGCACGGAGAGAGACTTCAACTTGCAGAACCTTCTTCTGAGAAACACCCCCATCTGTTCGACTTCAACTTGCTTCACAAGAAAGTTGGGGGTCATTCGCTGCACTGGATCTGTGTCTGAGAAGAGTTTAGAAGACTCAGGGATTTGACCCGAAAACAGCAACGATTGACAGACACCGAAGGCAAACCCTGAAAGCCACCCAAACTTGGTTTCCTGGTTTGGGTACAATTTACGAAGATGGCACGAGCTGATTGGAGCCTCGTCTAAACATGTGAAGCAAAAAAGCAAACATCCTGTACTTACCCACCACATTACCTTAACTCTAGGAACAGACCTTGACATTCTTGCCGCCTGGATGAATCAGGAGCCTGTGATGGATCCTCACTACAAAGAATATAAAACCGAGTCCATGAGTTCCAAAGTTGCAGACCTCTACCCAGCCCATCTGGTACCCCTTATCCTTAACCTCTCCTTACCCCTTGTGCCCTCCTTGTGCCCCCATCCTTCGTCCTGGCAGGTCGAGCGTGTCCTCTCAGCGGGTTCAGGAGCTGGCCAAGTCGCTGGATCAGCCAGTGGGCACCGCCATCCTTTTGCCCAAGGCCACAGGGGTCGTCCCGGGCCGAGCTCCGCCCCGGCATGTCGCACGGCCACGGCATGTCGACATGAGGGTCAAAAGGCGGTTTGAGGGTCGGGTTTTCTGGTGAGGCGAACTACTTGAGGTTGTTTTTAAACACTATTTACTGTAATACTTCAGTTTGGACACTTACTGTATATAATTCACCTTTGAAGTCATGCTTCAGCAAGTAAGACTTGGGTTCTGCTGGGGCAGCTTGGCGTCCGACAGCCAAAAGGAACCACGCGAAGGTGTCCAGTTGGTGGGAACACAGCATCTTACAGGGGCTCTGGAAGATCTGGAAGATTTCGTTTGACATCCCTTCCCATCCTGAGCAAGGCAACCCTGATCTGCTCGCTTCGAACGGTTTCTTTTCGATTACCAGTGCTGGTCTCTCTCTCTCTCTCTCCCTCTCTCTCTCTCTCCATCCGGCCTTTTTGGGGCTGGCCGCGGCGGTCCAGAGCTCCGCAATCGGCGCGGTCTGGTCCGCCCTCCCTCTCTCTCCCTGCGGTGGTGAGGCGCTCAACATTGCGGGGCGGAGTTTCTCCTCGGCCAAGATCTTGCGGGAGTTTAAGACCAAGAGCCGTGCACGGCTGGTACAGCTGGAGCTGGGTGTGAGGGGAAGTTGGGTGGTTGATCACGGTGGCCTTTGTTGTCGTCATTCTGCTGAGTGAAACCATGCATGTCAGATCTCCATGAGGTAGAAAAAGATGGCGCTGTTGGAGCCAAGTGACTTGAGCGGAGCAACTTCCAACGTGCCTCCTTTCTCGCTCAACGGTAGGCCCTCCCCTTAAGAAACATCTCAGCACAACTTAGACTTGCTTGACAATCTATCCAACTACATTGTTGGACATTTACATAGACACACCAGGTCAAGGACGGGTTCTTGTCTTCCCACTTGTCTCGGTTTCGTGGCTCGTTTCTCAGGAGCCCGGCCAGGCGCTCTTCGTGGTGAAGTTCGAGAACCTCTCCGAGGCGACCGGCGTCCGACGCCGGACGACCGGCTCCGGCGCGCCGGACGATCGGTGAAAGGGAGGGGGCCATTGGATTGAGGAGTGCCGAGTGCATGATCAGAAGATGCGAAAGAGCTCCATACAGCTTGGGTAACTTCAGATATGCTTTCAACCTTTCCTTGGGATGATGGAACACACCGACTCATCTGTTTTTCGTTCGTGGGTTGAAACCCATCGACCAGACCGAACCGAAACATAGGGGGGATTCCCAGCCATGCTGCGTTCGCCGGATCGGTCCGTCGGTCCGTGGGACGTCGGTCCGAAACTCGTGAGGACGACGGAGGGCATGGATTTTTGGGGTGTTCTACCTACCTGTTGCTTCCTACCTGGTGGCTTTTGCTTTGAGGGTCTGTGGCTTCTGTGGCTTCGCTTCTTGGTTTTTGATGGCTTGAGGTCTTGGTGGTTCGGATTTCGTTGGATCTTGATGGCTAGGTTTTGATAACATCGTTTTGTGTTGGCACTTTGTAGCTTTTTGGTTTGCTCTTGGAGGGCATGACCCCTTGCCACCACAGAAACAATTGCACCCTCCAAAAAGAGGCACGAGGTCCAACTACACTGCTGGGAAGCTTCCTAACATTTTATAGGGAGCATTCTAGCAACACCCTCAACAAAATACTAGTAACAAGAAGCTACGAACGGGGCTCCTGGCATCACTACGAACGGAGCGATCGGACGCAACTACTGTAGGGGCTCCTGGCCGTACTACGAACGGAGCAAGGACGCTACTAGTAACAAAGAAGCATGTTAAAGGTAGCATACTACCAGTTTTCAACAAAACCTTCCACGACTTCGAACCACGACTTCGAACCACGCCGGCCTAAGAAAGGCTTAAAAAACGCTGTTGGTTTGGTTTGGGGGCGACTCACGTGTTTTTTTTTGTGGTTTTTGGGAAGTTCTTTTTTGATATCATTAACCCTTAGAAGTGAATGAAGGGCAATTTTGCTCATCAAATCTTCCCTGCCAGGAGTATGCCGTCATGGCCGCACTGCGGCAGCTGAATTATCTCTGGCAGAAGAGCCAGCTGTGCGTGGGCCAGGAATGTGGGCTGAAAGAGTAGTCTTGAGTTCGGTTGCTGGCCAGATTGTATCCCAATCCCGTTTGTGCTTGAGCCCCACGACATCCTGTGGCTGAGTTTCTGCACCAAACCCTGGTCTAGACTCACCTTGGGTGGATGCGAGGCTACAGCATCCACATCCAAACTGGGATTCCTCCAAATCCTTTTCCAAACTCATCATTACCTTAGATCCTCAAACGCGACGCTCCCTCCTCCTCTCAATTTTGGTTCTTTCCACTGAGCCTGTGACTTCCTGCTCCATGGTCCACTGTTTCCATGCTTCTTGCCAAAGGGGGGTCTTCCATGCTTCTTGCCAAAAAAGACAGCACCGAAAAACCTGACATGTGTGAACTTCCCACTTCTGACTTGGTCGTGCAGGAGCTGGTGCAGGCGCAGACCTTCGGGATCTTCCCGCTTTCGCCCGGGCTCGGCCTGGTGGAGGCGCGTCGGTGGACGGACTGGTGAGTGAGTCGGATGGAGTCGAGTGGTCGGGCCGTGGTCGGGGTTCGGGGGTTGACATGGGAAGGGGCGATGGGTTCAGACGGGTTCATACCGCCTGCGCAGTTTCTGTTTTCGATTTTTGCGCTGATGAAGTGAGTTTCTTCAAACATTTGTTCGTTTGTTCTTGCTGGGACGGAAGCTCAAGAACGACTCTTTGATGCTCTTTGCAACTGCCGACCTCAAAGAGCGCTTCTCTGACCGGTACCCTCTCTTTGACGACTGAGTATATAGTTGAAGAACTGAAAGCTGCGAAGTGGTTGAGGTGACTGGGAGTTTACCAAACCCTGACCACCCCGCTCGGGACGTGACTTCCCACCTTCCCCTGCAGCTCCACCCGAGGTTGTCTCGGAGAGCCGTACCTTGCGGGAGCTCTCGGAAGGGGTGCCCTTCAACGAACGGCAATGGCGGGTGGTGCGAGCACTGAACCAGGAGAGGGAGGAGGGAGTGTGGCACAAGAGGTGGGAGGGAGGAGTAGAGGTGGGATGTGAGTAGAGGTGGGAGGTGCATTCTGTTTCCATCTGTGGGGTGTGTGGCATGTATTGGCAAGTGAGGGAGGTGTGGGACTGGGACGAGGAGGATTCGTTGGATTTGAATATTCTTCGGCATGTTCATTGCATCGGGATCTGATCGATTGGAACTCCTATGAACGCGGGGCAGGATCTTCCTAAATCCCCCCTTGTGCTGGCTATTGCAGCCAAAGAGGTCTTCCATCAGTGGAGGGTCGGCCGCAAGGTGCGGCATCAAAAGCTGATTTGGAACACTTAAACCCAAGCTCCAAGCGGGCAACATATTGTTTATGGGGTTTTATACTTTGATGCGTCTCCTTTGGACATTCACCCCTAAAAGAGGGTGTTTTATATGGCAGTCCGCAGTGCCGAGGCCGTGCGGAGAGTGGCCCAGACCCCGACAGCGTAATCCCAAACACTTGAGCGTGTAATGGAATAGGGAGAAAGACCAAAGACCCTCTGGAAGAAGGGAAATAGACGAAATAGAATAGTCTATTCATTGCTTGGAGACCTCCCTATTCCAATACACACCCACGCAGCCGGCGATGGCCGATCTCTGGGGAAGGGGCTTCTCCCCATCTCTCGGCGTCCCGGACGTGGCGCCTCGTCGCGGCACAAAAGCCTCCTGGTTTGAAAACACTGGAGGTGGGTGCCTTGATGGTGAGATTTGGGGATGCATCCACACCCTCTGACCACGATGTGTTCGTGTTTCGCACCTTTCGCTCGTCCGATGGGGTTCCTGCTGTTTTTTTGGGCCAGGATTCCCAAAAGCTGGACCGCTTGGCAGCAAGCGTTTGCGCCTACTTGACCTCCAGCTATGTCTTAGGTATCTTGGACTGACCCAATTAGCTTCGAAGCAAAACCGCCGCCGCCGGCACGAGCCGCTGCAAAACAGGCAAGATGTTGGATGGCTCTCCGAAACACATAGAACTTGGTCAATCTAAGTGCTTTGGGGCAATTGAACACTGGCAATCTACTGCTGGGAAGGGAAAAGAACAGGAAGAGATCGCACTGTGACAACCAGTGACTGGCTACCACACGTTCGGTAGAAGACTGGAGGACGGAGTTGCTCAAGATCGGGCGTACACTCCCCTAACATGGAAGTGGACAACCACCTGTTTGTTGAGGAAACAGGTCATTCAAACGGCCATTTTCATTTTCTGCTTCCATGTTTCAGGGAGTGTTTGGGCAGTATGTCATGAGTTCTTTTTGAGAGCACTGGGGTGGTGTGGCGCCACAGCTCTACTCTGCAAAGTGCCAGCAACCAGTATGCGAAGGCAAGTCGTTTCAAGAAGCCACTTTTTGCTATGTGATGAAGTGACTAAAGCTTCAGAAACCATTCAAATTTTATCCGGATTGCAACTTCAGGATCCTGATGAGTTCCATATGGTCCCATGACCCTGACTCTCTCTTTATTGTCTGCCAGGTATCCGTGATGGTCACGACGACAATCTGATGCTAAGACCTTTGGCCAGCAGAGATGCCGACGGGCCGACGGTCCCTTTCTGGCCTCAAGCTTGGTCCGTTTCTTTTTCACCTGGTCCTGCCTATCGTGAGGCCTCTCTGGGCGACACGTGTGAAAAAACGATCATGTGAACTACCAGGAGAAAAAGTCCCAGGAGAACGGAATTGAAAATCCGGCTACATAAATAAGGCCAGGTGACAACCATGCGAAAGACCAGATAATCGCTCGTCTTTCTATCGGAATGTTTGAACACCATCCAATCGCAGAGACCCAGTCGGACCCCTTGCAGTTGGGGCATGTGCATTTTTCGAGAGAAGGCCATTGATAATGATAGTCAATGTAGATTCAGAGGAACTCTAGATAGCTATCAAAAGCACATTGCCACTTACGGCAAGCTGACGACAAGCTCTTTCTTCCATACAGCCGCAATCCTGCTTTTTTCACTCTGCCAGCTTCTCACCCTAGTTTCACTGGCCCTTTTCCTCGATCTCGAATTCTCGACGGTTCCCTTGCCATTTTGGCCCTCCATCCCTCTCCCAGGGCGCGACGGCCGGCTCTTCCGCGTGGACTTCGGCTTCGCGTGGGGGCGCACGCCCGAGATCGACGCGCCGGGGATCTTCGTGCCCAATGCGGTCTACTTGGCCTTGGGAGAGGGACGCTGGCGCCAGGTAGGGGTTCCGGTGGAACACCAGTCTGTAGGTGGAAATGGGATGGGGATGGGTGGGTGGTAGATTGGTGAGGTCAAGGTTGATAAGTTATATATTAATTAGCTCCAGGCAGCAGGGTCAGTTGGTTTTGACCAATTCGCAGCTCAAATGCAAGAGCGTGCTGTGGATAGGCGTGCACCAATTGGATTCCTGCCCGTGTGACAAATTATATCAAAATCCCAAAGGGACTTACTTGTTCAGATTTGTTTATGGGTGCTTCTTCTCTCTCTTTTTTGCAAATGAGGTTTTCAGATTCATTCCTTCCTTGGTGGCAAAAGAAAGTAGAATAATTTAGCAGTAATGCCATTTAGAGGGTGCTGCTGCTACCAGACCTTCTGTCGGTGGGTCTCTTTTTCTCACGTGGCCTCGCCAGACACTGCGTTTCATCCCACCACCTTCACCCACCACACCCACGCCGAAGAAACCGATGCTTTTCCGCCTCATCTACACCAATCTCATCTCCTTTCGTCTCCACCGCAACGCGCGCGCCAGGTGGTGCTGGGTTGCAAAGCCGCCTTGCGCGCAGTGAGCGGCTCACGGGCCGACAAGCCAGCTTGGGAGTGCCTCGGGAAGGCCATCAGATCGCTGGCGAGGATGGAGGATGGGTGAGGACGACTCTTAGGACCACGTGAGAAAGCCGACCCTGAGGGCCGATTTCCATGAGGAGATGGCCTGAGAAAAGTCGCATGTGTCGCGCAAGATGACTGGTTTGTGTTCTTTTTAATTACATTCTTTCTAAGCGATGACCCTTCGCAACCAGGAGAGATTCCCCACTCTTTGCTGAACGTGCGACTCACAAAGGGTTGGGAAGAACTGAGCAGAATAATTGCGCGTGTTCGCCCAATCTTACCTCGCTTGGCATGAACAAACATGGTTGTACAGGGGCAGGTTTTCAGATCTTCTGGAAAGCCAAAAGACATGGAGAACATGCCAAAGACATGTCAAAGACCTGTTTCCCTCAACCAAGGGTATAAAGTTTGGGGGGACAACATGGGACAACCACAACCCTTGGTTCTTCATGGTTCTTCCACTTACCTTTGGAAAACATCCCCCAACTCGCACACACACCCACGAACACCCACCCCGTCCCTTCTGCCACCCCCTGTCAGGTGCCAGAACTGAAACCGTTGCTTCCGGAGGTGCCGATTCGCCATGGGCTGGGATCCAAACGAGAATTTTCCAGGAGGGCAGTCTGACTTGGTTGGAGGCCATCGCTAGTAGTAACAAGAAGCTAGTAGTAGCTCCTGGCAATTCTACTACTAACCAGAAGCTACTAGGTTGGAGGCCATCGCTAGTAGGTTGATCTGACTTAAACACATGGAATCAATCAGAGTTCCGACCTCGCCGACTTTCAGAGTTCCCGAGTTCACCGTGAGATGGCTTTTCATGTCGTTTTTGTCTTGCCATTTGAGGGAGGACGGCCACCAAATCGGATTCTTGAAGAAACCTTGAAAACAAGGGCGCTTGGAATGCACGCGAGAACCCTCGCGTGTTGAACGGTGCGAGGGAATCGTCTGAACATCACTATTTCTTACTGTCCATTTCAATGGTCAAAGACCTCGGAGCTGTTGAAGGACCTTTTGGTTTTGAGTGAAGTGTGCTTGTTTCTATTCTTGTGGTGTTGGGGTTGTTGGGCATGGATGGGCATGCGTGAGAAACTTTTGCCAACATCAAGGATTTGGTCAGCATGGTGAGTCACTTTCTCAGGCAATCCCTTCAAACCATCCAACCTGTAGGTGACCAGGATGTCTGGGTTGGCAATGGACAAAATCCATTGGTTAATGATTCATACTGTGTTGAACCGCAACAAAAACTCGATCATACCAGTCAAACACCACGACGCAGTCGCTCCTCCACTCCTCGCACTCCGTGAGAATCCTAATCCCCCCCAGAGTGGACTTCACGGAGCCCGAACCACGTGAGACGAGGTGCACGAGTATGTCTCGTCCCTGAGCCTTAGCTCCTTTGATCACCAGGCGCAAGTTTGGCGTGGAGCTGTTGGCGGCTTTTCTTGGCTGGCTTCACCTAGATAGGATGAATGGACCCTCCTTAGAATTCACATGAATTCACCTCACCTCTTGGGTCCTTTGGTCGTCCCTGGTCCTCCGAGTCTTCGTGGCTGTGCCATCCAGTCCGCTCCGGAGCCTCCATCTTCGTCCAAAAAGAGGGTTTCAATGTGAGTTCCACAAGGGGGCTTGAGATTGGATGATACCTTTGCTTCCTAGGTCCTACTGCTCAACATCGTGTTCGTCTCACCCGAAAGCCCTCGATCAATGGGGCCGCCCAATACATGATCTTCGCGAGCATGCTCGTTCCTTTGCTCCTTTGGCTTTTGAGGTTTTGGAGTATCAGCTCAGCAGCAACGTTGGTCTGGCTAATTGAATCCATGTTAACCTCCACTCCTGCTACTTGGAATTCACCACTCCCAACAGGACCTTTTTTATGCGCACATCATGAGACACCCAGTTACACGGGTTTTGAGGTTTTCTTCCTTCACCTGTCAGAAGGAATCGATCGGTGACCGGGAAGGACAGTTAGTAGTGGCGACGGAGACCTACCGTCTTGGTGGACTTGGTCTTCTACAGTAGGTCATTAGGATTCTAAAATCTTAATTCTTTACACCAAATGACATGCTGACTCTTTGCATTCAACATGGGTGCTTTTTTCTGCATGGGTACTGTGCTCATTCAGCTTGCCGGACTTAACCTTCCAGTGCAGCTTCCACCCAGTGAATGATGTGAAGTGCCGGTTACCTTTTTCGCCACCCATTTCACATTTCACCTACCCATTTTATGTCCTTCCTTTGTTTCGCCACGAGATGTCCAGGTGGAGCGTGCCGCCGATTGGACGCTGCAGCGCGCAGCCAAGAACACGCTTCGAGAGGCCCTAAGGTACGTGACGGCCGAGCAGGAGGTGGGGCTGGCGGGGATCGCAGCAGTTGGGGGGAGGAGTTGTAAACAGGAGCTCCTAGCAGCTTCTTGTCACTAGTAGTAAGAATGCTCCTAGTAGTAAGGCCAGGAGCCCCGAACTTAGCTTGGGGATGTGTCCCCCTCTTTACTGAGCAAACTTTGGTATTTCGCTCGAAAACCTTGTCCAAGAACTCTAAGATGCTCAAGGAAGGATGGGCTGACCCAAGATTTGTGGACCTTTTGAGACCCTCAGCCAGTTGTGCTTCAAGTTGTCTGGAAGCACTCCCTTTCTTGTCAGGAAGCAATGGAGCTCCTAGATCTCAGGATCCATTCGTGCCTTACCATCTACAGTAAGCGGATGGCCTTTTCTGAGCATCACGGTTTCCCCGCTCGTGGCCGCCCCATGCTCGCCAGGTGGAAGAGAACACCTGGTACGGCTTCTTGGATCCCTTTGGGCTCCTCACCACCGAGACCACTCCCCCGCGCACGCCCGCCACGCCCGTGACGCCGCTCACGCCCACCGCGCTCCCAGCGCCAGCGCTCTCGCCGCCGACAGCACGCGCGGAACGCATGGAGCGCATCCCGGAGTCCAGGCGCGGGTGGGGTGGGAGGGATCCCAGCTTGGGAGACTAACTGGTCTTCGAGTACTTGTCACACCTCCAATGAAAAAGCAGAAGGGTTGGAATGACAGGGTCCAACGACAACACTGGCTCAAGCCTGAGCCAAGGAAAGCTCGGAGATGGTGAACAAATTGAGAACATGTGTGCATCCAACATGATGAGCCACCGGGGGCGATGGTCTTTTGCTCAGCATGTTGTTACCCACTAATCTTCTTCAACTCGAGACATAGACACAGAACAATAACTGTGCTTCTGTAGAGCAAGAGTCCTCAATCACTTGGAGAAGTCGCCACTTAAGGTGTTGAAGGACCAACTCGCACCTCACGTCACTCGGCCATCCCCCAAACAAGGGTGTCATCCTACGTGTCATCCAATCGCTTCAGATGCTTTGCCGTTCGCGATCTTGCCGATGCCATGGCTGTCGGCGACCGCGGAAGCACACGGCGCTTGTGCCGGGCATTGCGCAAGCTTCGCAGTCGAGAGGAGGGGCTGCAGTTGGTGCAACAGCAGCTGAATGCCCCTCAGTTTGTATATTTCGGAGTATATATGATGATCGCATTTCCAATCAATCATGGCCTTCTTCTTTCCGAGCTGGTTTCGGCCCGCTGAGATGGTTTCTTTTTCTTCGTTCGCCTGAACGTGCAACGTGCCCGGTCCTCGGTCTCTGCACGGGCCCGACGCACCGAGCCGCGGACTGAGCTCTAAGGCCAGACCGAGCGGAGCAGAGACCTGTGGCTTGATCGATGCCTTTGCCCGACAGGGCTGGTTCTATCGGCCCTTAGCCCCTTGGATGGGATGGGTCGAGCATGTGAACCCCTCCAAAAAGCCGCGAGCGTCTCCCTAGCCTGAGGCTCAAGCAGAGAAAAAGAACAACTACAGGTCCAGGTGAGTCTCTACTGAAGGATTCACTTGTCTCACTAGAGTAACTGAGCTACGGTGTCAGTACGTGAGCTTGATACACACCGAACCGCTTCGTGCACTTCTCGATTGGTTCGGTGGGGCGTCCAAAAGCGTCCCATGTTGCGAACCCAACGGAACAGCAGAAGAGTCATAGGCTGGGAGAAGGCCTTCTCAGGCTCCGAATCAGGACAGTAGACGAGTAGATGAAGATCTAATTATTGGGTTCCCCGCATTGAGACAGCTCAGAGATTCTTTTGAGCCCGGTGAGACTTCATCATGAACTTGCCTGACAAAGGAAGGCATCAGGGCCCCAGGGAACCAGAACCATCCTTGTTTGCAAAGAACACCAAAGCAAACACCTCAATTCCAACGCCATTCACTCTTCACCAACAAGGCCTCTTCTCTTGGCACCTCCCCCTTCTTTCAACAGCTCACGCCGTAGCGCTCGCTCGGAGCTCAAACCGAAAGGTTGACTTGGCATCGCAACAGCTTAGCACAGGGACCTCGGCTTCGCCGCCTCACCTGGCAGTGACCTTGCGGGCTTTGGCCACCCTCCACCCGCCAAGTCTGGCGCGCTGGCGGGGTCCGTTAAACGCGCCACCTGTGGGACGTCGCCATGGTTGGTTTGCAGCAGTGGTGCTGCTGAGGAGCTTGTTGTTGGCCGAGGTTGTGATGGATGGATTGCTGGGAAAGGTGCCTGAGCTGCAAGTCGTTGCTTTGTTCCTTCTTCCAAAGAAGGTCGCCGATTCTTGTCTTGAAAAGCTTGGATGAAGAAAATTCGGAACATTTTTGCTCGACGTGCTTCAACAAAACCTTGTGAGTGGGCGGTTTCTGTTCGGCTTCTCGTAGCATGCTTGTAGGTTCTTGCTCTGATTTTCCAGAGCAGGATTCCCCTTGCCTCTGGATGCCTCCACTACCTCCCTTCAGAACATGGAAGTGGATGACCTGGCCCCCCTCGTAGGTCTTCCGCATTGACTTCTGGGTGTTCGGGGCATAGGCCGTGAGGTGTTTTTCCATGACAGACACGGCCTCTCATCAGGTCTTCTCCTGGACCTCTCAACAGGGATCCTGGACTTCTCAACCGGCGCACCTGCGCAGTTCCGGCGCTTTATGGGGTGCCCTGTGCGATGCTCGGCGGTGTGGAGTGAGTGGCTTTGTCGACCCCATGAAACCGTGCACACTTGGGGCATCTTGCATTCGAAACACACCCGGATGGATATGGGATATGGCTGTTCAACTGTGACCGCCACATGCTTTTCAACCTCCCAACCCAGTCCTCCTTTGCCTCCCATGTCCTGTCCACACGTGGCTTCTCCCGTCCAGGACGTGGCTTGGATCCTCGAACGACGCCCACCGGCCAGCTTGAAGCCTCTGACCGACCGGGAGAAGGCCACATTGGAGTCTTGGTTGGCGTCATGTGGCGAAGCCAGGCATGTGTTGTCGTTTTTTCCGAAGAGAGGGGGCCAACATGTGAGGGCAACTTGTGACAATCCCAGTTCAAGGTAGAAAAACAAAGGAAAAAGAAGGCATGTCATGCCAGCTTTTGTTTTTTTTTTGGCACATGAAGGTGAGAACTGACTGAATCGGTGGGACAGTTGGAGAGATCAATCACTGGAAGTGGCTCAGATACCTGACCATTTCACCTAGGGCTGGGTCCAAACACCCCGTAGTCTCACCTCAGTCTAGTCTCTTCCGCTGCTGGATCTGTTTGTCTCCAACCAAACCTGTGACCCAAAACCCGTGATTGCCGTCCGCGCGTCTTGCACCTCCTGCGCTGCGCGCGCTTTTGGTCGCAGAAAGCAAGCCGCGACTTGCTTCAGGAGTTGGTCCAAAGTTGGCCCGGTGTGGCACAGCCGGTGAGTGGGATCTCCGAAGCCTTGGAACTGCACGTGTACCGCATCCGAAGGTGGTCGGGACGTGGTTTCTGCTGGGACATGGAGCCTCATGGACTTGGGGTGGTTTGTTCACGGAGTGGTTGAATTGGTTGGTTCACCGGGTTCAAAATAATGGAGCCTTGGATACCTGTGGGATTTTCCAAAGATGTACAGTGGCCGGATCTCATGTGCGGGTTAGCTCTGGAGCTAACTCAGTCTGGAATGCAGTCTTGTTGATGGAAGAGTTCTGCTAGAACAAAGGGAATACTCTTCCCAGCCTTGCCGAGCGCCCTCTTGGAGCATGCCACTGTTCGAGAAGTGCTCCAAGGGGCCCATTTCGCCTGGCGCGCCCAAAGCTGCACCAGGCGTTTTCTTTTCTTTTTTTGAGAGCCTCGCTTTGCCAGGCTTTGCCCCAAACTCTAAATGCAAAAACACACATCTTGTCCACAAGCCCCCCCTCTTACTGGAAATATGCAACTTTAAACTCTCCTTTCTGCAAAAGACATCTTATCACCCCTTCCAGCCTGGTGCACCTCAAGCCAAGTGGATCTTCTTTTTCTTTCAGTCCAGACTGCTTGGGGGGGCTTTCCACCCGTACCAGTCGCCGTTCCAGTCGCCGTTCCAGTCCCGCCCAGGTCCGCCGCCTTCCAACGCCTGGGTCGCACAGTGGATGGTCTCCATCGTCCCTCCGGCGCGCGCTCAGGGCATCGGAGGCTTCCGCTGAGTCTTCCGGAGCTGAAGCTGGTGTTGCTCGGATGCGCGACCGGTCGCGACCAGTGCTGAAGCAGTTGAGAGAAAGGAGGGATGGGGGGTTTGTGAGGGAATGTGATGGAATTTGGACATATGCACTCCGCGTGGCGCGTGAGGAAGTTTTCTTTCAAGGGCACTCTTGGCTCCACCGTGAAAAAAAGTTCAGGCAGATTGATCCAGATCCCGTGGCCTAATGAAGATCCTCAATTCATTTTCTCAAAGATCGCTGCTTTCACCCTGCTTTCGCCGGCTCCCCAAGGCTCTTCTGCTTGGACCAGCGCAGCTTCATCTACGATCTTCAGGATGGCCGAAGCACCTTGGCCGCGGGGATGAAGCGGAGACCCGAGCGGCCCCAGGGCGACCAAACACACGTGTCCGAGTTGCACATGCCAGTAGTCTGAGACATAGAACATGCCAATGGACGAAATCAAAGGGGCCTGGCGGCCTTTGTTTGGGAAGAACAAGTGCAGGTTCATCAAGGTCTTGTTCATCCATCGTTCTCACACATCATCAATCGAGGGACCATTGGACTCCCCTTTTTCCCACTACCTGCAGACGGCTGGCTACGGCTGATGAAACGAACAGACTTCAATCTTCAATCTCACAGCATCCGTTCGTTGAAGTGGCAAATCGGAGACTGGACTTCATGGAACAAGAACTAGCTGAAACAGTGCTTAGTCAACAGTGCTTAGAGACACATGGGTTGCCACCGCATGGCGCAGGCCGTTCCGTTGGTCCGTGCGGGGGTGGCCCAACGGGGTGCGTGTCAGGTTGGTTGAAGCCCTTGACCCTTCTGCACCAGCAGCAGCTGGAGCGATGTGTTCCAGGGCACAAAGCGATGGGGGAGGAAGACCTAAGGAGACTGATAGATTTTTGGCAGAATTCTGTGATACAGAGGATGGTGAATAGGATTTGGCAGGAAGGATCTGCAGGATGTTTTCTGTTTGCCAAATCACGAAGCTGGATATCCAGTTTCTAGCTTTACACCCAAACTGATCAGCCCTCAACATGTTGGCAAGCCTCCCAATCCACCTGCCTCAACAGGCAGGAGCTCAGCTCTTCAAGCTTGTGCCCTACCGGACCTCACTTTTGAGTCATCAAAGTCTGCTAAAGGAACAAGCAAGCAGTTAGGATAGGATGCGTTGCTTCAGGTTGGTGAACTCTTCCAGGCAGCTAATATAAGTATGTAGAAAAGGTCACTCCAATGGTCTTGCGAGTGAAGATTCAAAGCAACGAACCGCTCCTCTTGCTACATCTATAGGATCAAGAACCTCTGAAAGATGAACACGACTTCATAACTTAGCCAAAATTCTAAAGGTGCTGGAACTCCCAACATTCCAGGCATGTGAACTCCAAGAGATTCATAAGACCCGACCCGGTTTTCCCGATCTCGGGAAGTTTTGCCAGCCAACCCCGACCTTTTTGGGTGCAGAAGGGTCTGGGATGACCGAACTCAGGGTCCGGAGTCGCAAGAGTTTGTTCATCCATTTTTTGGTTGCTGTAAATCACACGAACATCCAGGTTTTGTAAATCTAGAGTTAATTACTCCAAATCCATGGGTCTTGTTTTTCACCTTCACTTGATTCGATGTGCGCAGTCCATCCATGCCCAGGCCCTGCTGCTTAAAAAGCATACATACGCTTGAACACACCCGAGAGGCACCGCGCGGTAGCCGGTGCGGGTCCACGCCGCTCGAACCGCGGAGTCAACGCTCGGTCCACGCCTGCCTCGCGCAGGAGACGGCGGGCTGGCGCGTGGAAGTGATCCTGGACTCCGAGTGGCCCGAGCAGCATCTGGAGCAGCATGGCCTGAGCAGTGAGTGAGGGTCCAGCTGGGCGGTGGCCGGTCCGAAGGTTTGGGAAAGAAGCGAAGGTTTGGTTTGGACGGGTGATTCAGGAAGGGTGTTTGGACGCCCAGATGAGTGAGTCTGATTGACTCTGAGTTGGGTGACGAAACATGTGAGTTTTTTTTGCGCAGTCATGCCTTTGGGGATGATCCAATATTGGGGATGAACATCCAATTTTGGTGGTTCTACACATCTAGAGGTTTCCTCCCAACCTGAAGCGCGGTTCTACACACACGCTGGTCTAAACAGTTGAACAGGGGTTCCACGAGGTGACCAAGGGATGGGTCAGGTGCAGGTCCTGGAAGACTCCATTCATGTGAGGGTTCCAGTTCTTTTTGCAGAGGAAGGTTGAAGAGCCCATGTATATAAGGGATGACATGAGACGTTTTCAGGTGGTGATTGAATCACTTAGACAAGGTCTTTACATTTATATATCAGGTCGAAGCAAATCACAGGCTGTGAAGAGATTGGAATTGGTTGAATTTGGGTTGAACTTCAGAGAAATTGGAGGGATTCGCGACCAACATGCCCGGGGTGAGTGTATGCAGGTTTGATTTGCATCAGATTGCAACCCACTTCTTCAACCTTTTTGGCGATGTTCTCAGCTCTGGCCGAACCGACCCGATGCACAGCCTTGGAGCGCCAAAGCGTCACAGGTCCGAACCTCGGACCCCCGGTGGGTGGACGCTCTTCAGTGATGGTTGCAATCTAAGTCGGGTTATCCCCCACCCGACTTGACCTCAAAGTTGGGATGAGAAGCGTCCATGCAATCGGATAGGAGTCCAGTTCCACAGCAGTTACCGAGGCAAGAGCTCTTGCTTCGAAAGAAGCTTGCCCATGCCTTACAAGCACATGTGCCCCGAAGAAGGAGGCGCAGGCTGCCTTGAGGAGCAGAGGAAAAGGCATGCGGCCCTCTCAGTCGCTGGCAGACCGCCCCCCAAATGGACAGCACTGTGGCAATATTAGGTTATTGGCGGTTATTATTATTGGTAATAAATTATTGCAAGAACAGAAACACCAATATAGCAGAAGACTGGTTCTGTGAGTAATTAGCTGGTGTTTCTGTTGCGCTTGGCATGTAGTGTAGCCTGCCGCAAGCAGAAGTGACTTGGCCCAGTCTGTACCACTTGCCCGGGGCATACATATCCTGCCAGTCCAGCCCTACCTTTACTATACTATGTTGAAGAATATGTTGATCTATGCACTTGGCAAAAACCCACGAACTTCTCATGGCCTGTACTTTGGTGATTAAATCGAGGCTCCGGCTCCTTTCTGGCACAGAAAAGCGAACGCGGCTGAAGTCGGCATTGCTATGCATTGAGGTTTTGGCACATGTTTTTCACAGCAGATGGTGAGATGAACATCACCAAGTTGGCCACCAGTCATTTTATACCTTTGGCTGTGAGCCCCTAGTCCCCTTTACAAAGATACTATTTTCTGGCCAACGGTTGTATTCAGGGTTTCACAGTACACACGTTCACAACATCAAGTGTAGTCTTTGTTATGGCGACAACTCCTTGCAGATAAGGGCTTTGTTTGGCAGAACCCGGGTTGAACTTGATGCGGAGGAGTTCCGTCCAGCAGAGTCTAGCATCTCGGATTCAAGGTTTCGACAGAGGCTTTGTTCGGAGAAGGGCTGTGCGAGTTGGACGAAAGTCATGAAGTTGAAGCAACGCTATAAGCTCTACAAGATCTCAGCATCAACGATGAAGGTGGCGATCTAGCTTTACATTTTGCAACCAAAAACAGCCACTTGAGGGTGGTGAGAGTTGCTGCAGGCCGATGCTGATAAGGATGCAGCAACTTTACACTTTGGTGAACGTGCTTTACACTTAGCTAAAAAACGGCCACGTGGAGGTGGTGCGACTGCCAGGCTGCAAGGAACACCACCAGAAGGCATCACTCCTGCGAGGACCAGAGGAAGAAGAGCCTTTGACACTCTGTCAGATTTCTTAATCGGAATATTGATGCATGCTTGCTACAATCTAGAGCAGTTCTCCCCTCCCCATGTTTGGGTTTTTGTGCTGCTGTTTGCTTAGGGGACCTCATGCGAGTTCTGACCATCCTGAACCCAAGCGGACGGACTAATCCTTGCATTCCTTACGCGGCGGGGAGGGGACAGGACAGCTGGTCGTCAAGGAGCAAGTGACAGGAGTGTCGGACAGATTTCCATGGCTTACCTGAATGAAGCATAGCTCGGTATTCTGCTGTGCATAGGTGGGTTCAATGATGTAAATGACATGGCATCTCTTTTATACGCATCAAGTAATTTGATCTAATTGGATAGATGATAGAGTATGGAACCGAGGACCTTTCAATGGGTGTTGACTGGGCTCAGACCACAGAATAGACTGTACCAATGGCAATTGGAACGGTTGGAAGGTGTTCTTTGCTGAAATAGCTATCCTGTAGTAGATAGAACGTACTTATTTCTGATGGTTCCAAACATGATGCACCGAAGGACGCCTCTATTTGTATTCATAGTTGTGGCGGTTATCCTTGGTTTGTTTTCGATGTCCAACTGTAGGTTTTTGGGGAGGTATATATGTGATGCCAAACTTGCCCAGGGCTATGTCTATGGCTTTCTATGTCTAAGTAAGATTGAATAACTAACATCTATTGCGCGCTTAAATTTCCACTATGACTTTTTCAGTGCTAACCTGATTCTATCTCCCCTGGAACACAGGCAGCCGATGAGCAGACCAGTGAGCGGACCAGGCGTGGGTCGACCGTGTGAAGCGTCGAGCGTCGAATAAAACTCCAGCACCCAAAGACCATCGTGTCTTTGGATTCCAGACTCGCAGCTTGCAGGATGCCTTCCAAACCAATGTGATCATCACAATGTATGCAGTCTCAGCTATGTGCGGGATACAGCTTGGGCTTTGGCTTCACCCTAACGATCTCTTGAGGATCTCTCGAGATCCGAGGATTTGATTCGAGGATTCGAGAGTGCGGACCTCTCGGAGTCCCTTCGTTCGAATGCTGAGCCTGCTGGGACTGACAAGTTGGTCTCTGAGATGAGCAAATTATGCACTTAGAACACCATTTGAACACCAGCAGTGAGACCATTTTCATTACTAATTCCATCTAAATCTGGTATCTCTGCAAGTGTGGCTCCATCAAACCAATCTCTTGCACAGGGCCCCCCTTTCCATAGTCCGACAAGTTTAAACCAGACACTTCGAGCTGCACACAGGCATCAGAGTTGGGATACCTCCACGAGACAATCAGTTCACATGGTGTGAAGAAGAAACAGATCTTGGACCTCAAAACACAAGGGAAAAGAAAGAACGACAGCATTCACAGAACATTCCAGAACTTTAAATCCTAGAGGCCAAGGTCTCAACTTCGATGATGCAGACCGGGGTGACCGGGTGGGCTCTACGAGGCGCTGGGAATCCGCCAGGCACTGCCCCTCTCCGCGCCGCACCCCCCTTGGGCTCCGGTGGTCTGGCTAGATGAGATGCGACTGTGAGGTGCAGCGCGGGCGGCTGGGGGGTGAGGTGGTCCCACTAAGGTGAGTCGCAGGAAGTCATATTTACCGATGTTCAATGTACATTTAGGAACTAAGAAATGGATGGCCTGCAGCTGTATGCTGGTCTATTCTTCCAACTCTGAAGGAAGTTGTAGATTCTCAACAGGAACATTTGGAAATGCCAACTGCATATCCAGGTTAGTTTTCACTAATCTTGAGGTTTCTGGAATGACTATGAAGTGGCGTTCTGGAAGGTTTCCTGCCAGTTTTCCGCTTACTCTTCCATCCATTGTTAGGCCACTTCTCAGCACCTGCCCGACTGCATCCGTCCAACAGCACACATCTGACAGCACTTCCGTTGTAGATCATCTTCGGTCTTTGACCCTCCCATCCCAAGGATGGCTCGGGCAGAAGCCCTGCAGCCGTTGTTCGTAGATGTCGTTGCGAGGGCAAAAAACGGATCTGCGTGGGTGGGGAACCCCCCTGTGAGTTTGTGGCGGAGAGCAAGAAATTTAACACCCATCGCTCACTCTGAAACCACATCAACATCAAGGTAGTAGGGACAGTTTCACCCACAACTATGTCAGCTCTGACTCTGAGATTTTTGAATCGTGAAACAATCGTCTTCGGGGATGGGGGCAGATGGCCGCGTGGCGAGGCCCGATGTGCAACAGCTGCAGCCTTGCAGGGGGGGCTGCAGCTGTTGGGCTGATGTTTGCATCAGAAGATACGTAGCAGGTTTACTGCGCACTGATGCCATCTATGCATGGGCGCTGTTGGAACAAAGAGTCTCTTTAGAGAAGATTCATCACCCAGGCTGGCCGATTTGCCTTCACTGGGGTGGTTGAACAGGGGTCAATGGCATATATTCCATACACGGATGGTCTGGGTAAAGAGATTTTCAGACTGTGCAGAGTGGCACTCGCAGGGATGTTAGTGCCGGCATCGATGGGTCAGGCCCAAGGGCTTAAGTCATGATGTCCACCGATCTTTCGCGGAAAAAAAAGGGGATGTCACAAGCTTTAGCCTTCTTGAGAGTCAATTTGGATCAATGAATATCCTCATGGTGATGATGTGATGATGATAACGACCTAGGACCTAGGGCACCTACTTGTAGGTGGGTGAAGCCCATAGCTGGCAACCAGAGGGAGAAAGCAAGATAATATTCCACACCACCAAGACCAAACCGAGGCTATTAAGTTTGTAGACCACCTCATCAGCCGAGAAGATATCACAAGGATTTCCACGCTTCCGCCCTCTTTTGGGGTCGTTCAACAACATATGACATAGAAGAACTGGATCACTTTAGCATCAATCACGCGTCCCATCTCACTCAGAAGTCACACACTGAAACACTCTTCTGCTCATGGCGACTTCTCGTGTGCTGGCCTTGATGGCACAGGTGGGGGTCACGTCTGCACGTTTCATCCCTTCCGTAGGTGACTGTGGCTCATGGAGTCGCAACAAGCTTGCTCAAGCTCCAAGAGGGTCAATGATGGTCCTCTGGACTTGCTCCCCCTTCCGGAAAATCTTCGACGGGCATGGAGCCCCCGACGGGCATGGAGCCCCCGGCGGGCATGGAGCCCCCGGCGGGAAGCAATTGGTGAAGCAGCATCAGTCGCGCTTCTTGTTACTAGTAGCGTTCTTGCTCCTAGTAGTACGGCCAGGAGCCCCTAGTAGCGTTCTTGCTCCTAGTAGCGATTCCCATGCCAGGAGCCCCTAGTAGCGAACATTGCTACTAGTAGCGATGATCAGGAGGAGAAGGAGCACTTAGTGGAGCCCTGTGAAGTGGAGGCGATGGCCGATGCCGCCGATTCTGCGCGGAATCGTGGCCGTTCACCGAAGGAGGTGTGACTCACGAATTGGTGAAGATATAGAAAGAAATGCTGAGCTTTTTGTTGACTTGGAGACTTTTCGCGGACTTGGCATCATTCACGAAACTTGAGGTGTTGGAGGTTGGACGCATCACATTAGACTCATGGAGACATTCAACATCATTCAACACTCGTTTTGCTCCAAACCAGTCATCTCAGCCTGAATCTCAGCATCTAATTGAAATTGCTAAGTCAGTGTGGGTCTAGGCCCCAAATTCCAAAAACCAAGTTGCTTGATATGGCTTTTTCTGACTGCTTCACCTCAGCCATTGTAGCGGCCCTTCCTTTGCACCGCTACTCTCATTGCAGGCACCGGGCAAGCCTTGGCTGGGACGGCTCAGTAGACTAGGAGTGGATCGCCGAAGACTCGCGGGTAGTTGCCTGAGGAAAGGGATGCCCTGGAAGTTGATACAAGCTGTGAGTCTACACAGTTTACACTTGACCTTCACAAGAGTTGTGGGTTCTGAGAAAAGCGGGAGAAGTTTTACATTCGGTTCTGCTGCGGTGGGCGAGAGCTGACATTCAGAGCAATCGTGCTTTGTTTTGTCGACTGACTTGCTGGACATCTACTAGGTGCGGTGTACTTCTTTTTGTAGGCCTGTAACGTCTGCAGATCAATTTGGGTCGGTCTTAGATGAGGCGACAACATTCGTGGCAAAGTCCTGGTAGTCCCAGGCTTTAACATGCATTAAGTAGGTTGAGCTCTGCATAACTCACGGTCTTGGGATTCAGGAGCCAAGGAGTTTTGAACCGTTTTCTACAAATCAATCTATATGCCTATGTCTTGATCCAAGCACCAGAGCTACCCTTTTCCAGGAGCCTTTCTGGTGGCTGGTCTCGTGCTGTTGGCCATTGTGCCGCTGCCAGGCCCGACAAAGCTGGAGGCACCATGCATATGGCCCCGCCCCAGTTGTTTGATTTGGAAGTTCACGACTCAGGACCTCTCCGCAAAGGGTATCACCATTCCTATCCAGCGCAGTACCAACTTGCTTAAGACTGTAACTCATCTGCGAAGGGTCATTGTGGCAACTTTTCATGGTGCCAGAGGGGTCAAGAACACTTTTAAATTGCTAGTCACAGCCCTCTTCTCCGTTTACTCTGGAACTCAGTCAACGGCTTGGGCATGGCAATAAGAACCCCACCTCCTTTCCAGTTCAAGGATCGGCTTAAACCAAAGCACCGAAGGGTTCACCTTTGACCGGAAAAGCCTGTGGGCTGATGACCTTTTTGAAGAGCACAGTTCTACTCCCCGGATGCCTGTTGGTCAGAGAAACGCCTGAGAGAAACGCCTGATGCCTTCGAAAGAAACACCCAAAAGTCTTCCCCCCCTCATCTACCAGGGGCAGCTGGGGAGTTGGCAGAGCTTGAGCCTGACCGCTGACGGAGTTTTCTAGGGAGCATAAAACTCGTATTATATTATCTTTCATATGTGGTGGATCAAACCATGTACAGTTACACAACCACAAAAATCCACGCCAAGCCAAGAGGTTGCCCCTGAAAATATTGGGTTCCCAAACCTGGAAACCTTGGAGGATTCCTGAAAAACATCCTGGCCTTTTTCAATGAGAACCCACGCGACCTCACGAGGCGGCCTCCACGATTGGTTGGAAGGCACGACGCAGCGTCCGACGTTTGGGCTTCACCAGCGACCGGATTCATCGGCTGTCATACGTGGTGCCACGAAATTCGGTGGTTTTGGAGCCCCAGTCTGTCTTCACACGGGCTGAGCAGAGCGCTCTGCCAGGTCTGCAAGATCCCAATCTGCGGAGCCTACAAATCGAACTGCATCTGGGCGAGATCTGAATTCTGGAAGACCTGAATTCTGCGGTTCTGTATTTATAGTGACCCCCAAATAGATAGGGAGTGGCACGGTTCCAAAACATTTTTAGTGGGGATCTTATTTAACATCTATTTGGGGGTCTATATAGACGGTATAAGACGTACTCCCATCCACCCTTCAAATGTCGAATGGTGGATTGTCCGATGGGCTGGTGGCAGCTACGACAGCTATGACAGGAAGGTCGCATCCCTAAACTATGAGGTAAGCAAAAAGTGACACATGATTCGACCTGAACAAGAGTCCCTAATTTATCAAGCCTTTTCTTCTTTGGTGCTTCTTCTGATTGTTTTTCCCTCGTTTTTAGGTGCTCGGGCTTCTCAAGCCGGGCTTCTCAAGTACCTCCTTTCCCTCCGATGAGTCAGAGCGGAACTCCGCATATGACTACCCTACCTAACACTTCAAGAGTCTGCATCCATCTCTATCACGTTTTTGGATGCCTTCTTGATCCCATACTTCTCATAACTATTGCCCTTACGATTGCTCTTACGACATGAGTTCTGTGGTCATGTCCTCCGTCACTCCTCCGAGCTTCGCTCATCACTCCTTGGAGCTTCCGAAAGGCACCGGAGAATCACATGAGTCATGTGGACTTTCCAGCGGACTGGGCCCAAAAAACAAGCACTTTCCAGCTTATTTAGTTCACGACACGAGATTCTTTTTGCAAATCGGGCACCAGCCTTCCAGCTTCACATCGAAGGTTCCTCGCCTTGGTCATGTCATGAACGTTCAGTGCTCAGTGTCAAGGCCTTCTATAGTATCTTCATGTATCTTTTGCTTCTGTTTAGGTGCCCCCCAGAGTGAATGGATGCGGAAGAGGGGATGAAAACCAATGGCACCGTAAACGTGGTGACCCCAAAAAAATGTGCCATCCGGATTAACATGACCATCAAAAGCGAGCCAGAAGCTCTCTGTTCGCGCCTGCGCGTCGCACGAACACATGACATGAGCTGTGCCCCCATTCCACTTGCAAAGAAGAGCCGTGGTGATCAGTGGTGTGTGTATTGATCCAGACCGAACTGAACCGGCGTTCCGCGGGTGAGAAGGAAACGGGAAAGGAACGAGTCGACCATCTGAGGCAAGCAGCTGGTCTGCCGCTGCCCTTCGAACAGAAATCGCACATTAGACTGGGGCGCTCAGCGAGGGAAGCAGCTCGAGGGAAGCGTGGGAGAAGTCAAGCGTGTCGCGAGCGAAGCGTTTGAAAACGACAAGAACACTTGGGAAGGGTGTGAAGTCATGTGAATTCACTGATGTCATGCTTCCAGCGAGGGCGCTTTGATATGAATTCATGATGTTCAGAGGAATAAGAGCTAACTGTTCGATAGCTTGAAGTTCTCCACTGTTGGAGAGTGGCTGAACAACCGTAGATGAGCTCAAGGCGTTCAGCTTTTTTGTAGTTAAGATTGTGCGCCTGTGGAGGGCAATTGGAGATCAAATCTAAGTTTGGTGGTGATTTCAACTATTTAGTGGTGACCGGCATCTTCAAAGGACACATTCTTTGCTGTCATATTTATAGAGGACACCCTTACTTTATTCTTTTAGAAGTCCCACAGCTGATCGTTCATGTCGCCGGTCTACGCCTGAGGACGCTCACAACTGAGCCACTCATCCCAGGATGTTCCCCATACCCACTTGTTCCACAACTACCCACTTGTAGTCATTCTGCAATCCAGTTTTACAGACACATGTTCAACATTTCAAGCAGCCCGCATATGGTCCTCGGGTCCGTTGTGGAGATCCATCCATGACGCCTACCTGCATCAGGCTCTGAAGCTGGTAGCGTCCTTTGCGTGGTGGACGTGGTGGCCTGGACAAATGAGAAGCGGCGTCTACATATGACCGTGAGTGACTGGCAACAGGTATTGTGAACAGGATGGCTTTCCCTTGACTCGGAAGAGCTAGATGGCTGTATCCAGTCTTGCAGGTTTTTGTTTTTTTTGGAAGACCAAATTGAGGGCTTGGTTTTTCCAGGGTGCCTAAAAGCATGCCCGCAAGGGCCTGACGACCTAACACAATGATCACTGAGTCATACCTGCCAGGCCCAAGAAGATGCCCTGGGCGAAAATCCACACATCCTGCGGGTGATTTGAGGGTTCGGGCCTTGCCAGTCGGCCGCCAGTCGGGTACCACCACAAGTACAGCACCAGCCAGTTCGGGTGGTTTACGTTCGACCTTCCATGTCAATAAGCATGTTTTTGGTGCTGGAGAGGTGAACTGAAGCTCTTCGTCCGCAACTTCGTTCCGACCTGGCTTTTTGATGTGGACGGGGCGTCTTCATTTCGATGAACAAGGGAAACGGGCATGGTTTCGGTCGTTCTTTTTGCATCGGCAAAGATCCTCAGGTGCATTGTGCATTGTGCTTGTACTGAACCCCAACACACCAAACCGACGGCGGTCTTACGCCGAGTTGTTTCGAGGCATGGCATGGTGGTTAGACCCCCCTGAACTACGAAGTCGCTTCTCCTCTGCCTGCGCCTCATCCCCGCAGAGAACCCAAGGCTCAGTCCGTTGGGCGCATCATGGGCATTGCTACGAGCATCAAGGGTGCCACCGTGAACTGCGCGGCTCTGTCTGCAGACCAGATAAGTAGCGACGTCCTCCACCCTGGCCCTAGTAGCGATGACCCTCCACGCTGGCCCTGGCGATGGCCTCCGGTCCACCCCACTAGCGATGGCCTCCAAGCTACTGCGGGTCGGATCTAGGTGCCAGAGGTCCATTTGGCCATAATGTGGGTTACCCTCAATATCTCCCCAACATGGGTTTATTTATGGCCTACATTATGGCTACATTATGGCCAATAAACAATTGGCTTTATCACCCGAAGTCCTCGAAGCTTGCGTGCTGTAACCGACCCGTCGGGGCGCGTTTATATGGACCACCATTTATAAAGGACCTCTTGGCTTCAAGCCGTAATTATCCCCAAAGACACTTCGGCTCGGTCAAGTGCAAACACCGAAGATGAACACGTCTGCAAGGAGCATCAATCGATTGTCTTGCTATTGTGATGCCTATGTCTACTACGAAGACTGAAGATCATCTCCAGAGCAAGTGGGGGAAGGTGATATTGTTCCTGCAGTGCGAGACGACCTCTTGCACGACTCGACAGGCGATGGAAGTCCGGAATGATGATGCATGATGGACAATGATCAAAATCTTTCGTAAGTGTGGCCCTTTGGTCAAAATGGTTTGTTTGCAAAGGACTTCACCTACCAAATGTGGTCCAGGATGAAAAAGACATGAAACAAGATTAGAACCATGCAAAGGACGTTTTACAGAGATCTCTACTCGAGATCTCCCTAGATCTCGGTCAGTTTTGGCTTGATCCGCACAAAGGATGACAGCCTCTCAAAGAGAACACGTCCGTGTTCAACGCCTCGATCAGCCGTTTTAAGTTAACGCGTTCCTTCCAGACGTTTGCCACGCACTCAGGATTACAAGCGCATCGAGCGGGAGGAGAAGCGGCCCGTGACCAAGGAGCTCCCAGTCGGTGGGTGCGGCGACATGACACGGAGAACTGTATGGAAAACGTCCAATAGACGCAAAGGGGGGGTTGGGAGCATGTGTGGGGTGCATGAGCACACAGTGCAACATTCAACAGGACAGCCACGTCTCCTACCCCTACAGGTGAGGTCCACAGTGATGTTTTCCATGGCTTTCCTCGATTTGTTGGCCGAGAATGCACATTAGTGCAATTGCCGGCCCTTTTTTGGCGGGCCCTTCAGAGGTTCGGGGAGTGCTCAAAAGAAGAATGTGTTTGGGTTGAAGTTGGATCCCCAAGTAATAGAGCCTTTTTGGTCTCCATCAACCATTGACCATCTACCCAACCGCTCTTTACTTGAGGTTTGTTGGGCTCGAAGAGGTCGAACCATTGGCGACCTGTCGAGTCGGATCTCAGTCATAAACAGACAAGTTGCATGGTCTGAATCATTCTGACTCTCTGCTGATCAAGATCGAGTACTCACGACCCGGGCCACCCCTTTTTCCTCGCGGGCGCGGGCGCGCGCGCCCCGAAGTTCGGTGTCATCTCGGTGTCTTCGGGCGAAAGGACAAACTGGACATGCAAAACAGTTTTTTCATGTCCAGTTTGCACTTGCCCAGGTTCTTGAACACGCAATGCCTCAAAAAGGAAAGCGACGATAGCGAAGTGATCAATGGGCACCATGGGTGGTGGTCAATATCGGTGCGGGCGGCACCGGGTGTGCCCGGTGGCACCGGGTGGCACCGGTGTTGAGATCCCAATAATGTAGACTCTAGAATAATTAACCTCCTCATCATGAGCTATCCAGGATAGCAAAAGACCTTGAACGCCCAACTTTTGGCCCCGAAGCCCACTGCGAAGAAGGCGACCGGGACTCCAACGCCGACAGCCGGCGACAGGATGAGAGGCAGCGCTGCGCGGTGACCATCATCGGTGTCTCGTGGCCTCAGTGAGTCGCCATGCGGGCCACGCGGTGGTCAGAGCGGTGGTCGGAGCGGCCAGAAGAGCTGAAAAGCTCGTGGATTCCACCGTGAACACAGCGGTATTTCTGGGATCATTTGGACCTCAGAAGAGGAGTGTTCACCAAGAGGGGTCTTTGGACCTTGCTTCAAACAGTCGTTTGTTTGGATGGATGCTCTGTAGATGAAGGGTACTGGAGGCTGAGAACTCTTCTCCAGTGGATGTCCTATCAATTTCTCCCTTGACTGGTAATTGGTGTGGAATGCGATAGACAGGTTCCATGGAACAATGAAATGAATTCAAACACTGCAGTCGGCAGTGGACCAACCATGGCAGCACAAAACCACCTTCATTGCCAGATTAAGGACCTCAAATGACCCTCGAACTTGAGTTCTTCCGTGGGAAAAGTGGCCAACCATGTCGCCGGGTGCACTTCGCACGTCCAGGTTTTGGTGAACACAGCCTTGGGCATCGGTGCCATGTCATCTTCCATCTCCACGTGTGCGGGCTCCGTCAATGTCCCGGCGAACTGCGCCGCTGGGGCGGTGCATCGAGGAAGTATCGTGGAGAGACGGGACGGAACTGGGGAGCGGACTGATTGGACTGATATTGGGTCCAAAAGAGCCCAGGAATGGCAAGGAATGCCATATAAGTGCACCGCGTACAATGTACTCGCAGCTGGGTAGCTTGATGCTTCAACTATATCCTTGTTCTATTTTCTCCTTGGTGTCTTGGCCTAGGCCGAGACTGCACTCACTCAAGAATGAATGACCATGAGCCAAGATTTCCGAGGTTGTACCATGGTATCCATTTGTCCAGAGTAGGCTTGGATGAAGGGGTTTGACGAAAGAACACAGACCCGAAAACGACAGATTTCACTGCACCCACCTGGGCACAGAAAAGCACGGAAAGTACGGACGTTCCGAAGCTTTCTTGAGCTTCGGCTTGTGGATTTGCGGGTTCAGCCTGAGGCTGCCAACATCAACGCATTCATTGGTGTCTCGGAGCAGCTTCGACGGGCTTCGTGGGGATTGGCTTCCCCACTATAGATCCAACATGTGGATGGATCTATTGATTTGTGTCAACCTTTTATGTTCCAGGGAAGTTTTTTCGGGTCAGAGGCTGTAGATCTACGGAGAAAAGACCGGAGACACAACATCGGCCGTCTATGGGTGGCTGGGAGACTTGGTGGTTTGCCACTCATCCTTGAATCCGACAAAAGCCTCCCTATTTCCGCTGCTGCTTGTTCTTGCCACTTCTTGCCATGGGGATGAATTATGCAATTTCCGGCCTTTCAGTGACTGCGTGAATCTCTGAAGCTTGTTTACGCAAATGGCCTATGATTCCCTGGAAGATCTGCCTGCTTCAACGCTGAACATTTGTCATGGTTCGTGCAGAGCTCAGCTGTTGAGCCTTGATTTTTCCCGTCTACCAGGTGCGGTTGGGGGGTTCCTGAAGCAGACAAGTGTCGAACATTATTGCGTGTCTGAGATAGGTGACACTCTTGTGAGCAATGGCGGGACAAAGTTGACAAATTGTTGCCTGAGAATTCCCCCAATTGGACACCAATCTAAACCCTTCAGCAGTCTTCTCACGACTGGTTGAGCAACCATCCAAAACATACCCACATCCATGGTGTTGGTTTGTCGATCGATAGTTGGGCTGAGGCAATGCTTTGGTGCTGGTGGCAACTGCCATGGCGGCGGATTTGTCCTGTCCCGAAGATCCCCTGCCGGACCCTTTCCGCCTGCAGGTCACTGGTGGAAGGGACACATAGATGACATAGACCTAGGTTGAGAACAGATAATAGCGACGGCCTCCAACCTGGTAGTGATGGCCTCCAACCTAATAGCAGCAATAGCAATGGCCGGGGCCAACATGGGCCAATGGCTCCATCACTTGGACGTATTCCAACTTGGGCACCATCACTTTGTCTATGTCGTAAGAAGATGGACGAAGCTAGTTGAAGACCCGATCAGCCCGATCCGCCCGATCCAAGGAATTCCATTATATATATATGGATACGTTTCAGTTCATTGATGAACCAGTCAGCTAGCAGCTGAGCCATTTGTTTTCTACTTCACGCCTTTGAGAGTACCTCTGAGCCCCCCGAGGTTGATGACCAAGACACATCAATGCCTATAGTGTTATACTGTTGACCGGGCATCTCCAACCATCCCTACTACCGCCCTATCGGTTCTGCTACCCTACTACCCAGCTGAATCTCCGCCCACAACGTGCGGTCATGGCTGATTTTTTTCGGATTTTATGAAAAGCACACATCGCATCAGCGGTTTTCATGTGAAACGGAATTCTGTTTAATGCCAACACCAATCGTCTTCCTTCCACGTCTTTCGCGTTTTTGTTTTTTGGATCTGCACGCCGTCCTTTGCAGGATCGGATCGAAGCAAAAGCCAAGGAGATCGCGCCCTTTGGCATCAGGGGATTTGGTCGCCAGTCAGACTGCCAGTCTATAAGGACATTGCTTTAATCTTTTTCTCCGGAGTCTATTTTTTAGCACCTGGACGCCGAAGAAAGCGGTCTCTTGCTTATTTCAGGTGACCCACCAAAGGGCGCGGGTTTCATTTACTTTGTCCACTGGAGAGCATGATCTATAACCGCACTCTTGGCTCATACAGCCAAGACTCTTCAATGACCGAGCCAAGAGTCCTGTTTCATTGGGGTCTTTATAATATGCTTTTGGCTGCCGAAACTGTACCCTGTTCTCATCGAGACGGACCACCAACTCCGGAGTAAGAGAGTGGAGGACGCCGTGAGATGCTGAGAACATGTTCCTTCCTGGACGCGCGTGTGCGTGACGGTTGGCACCTGTTCCATGATCTTCAGAAGGGACAGAACTTTCTTACACCTACACCCACCATCTCCTTACACGGTGATTTCTGGACTATTCCGAAGTTTCGTTTCACCTGCATTCTTCCAGGGATGCAAAGGAAGAAGCTGCTCGGGAGGCTTGGACTGGGCCGCAAGCACCTCGCACCCGTCGTTCGTCGTTGGTTTTTTGAACCATGGAGCTCTACGTCAAAGCTGCAGGCATTTGGTCACGTTGATGAAGCTTCTACAGCTGCAGAAGCTTCAATTCTTGCTTCTTTCTTCACACACATATAGGAGCTCCTATTGCATGGAGGCAGCTGGAGTATTCGCCTCCTACAAACAGCCAGTTTTCGCCAGTTTCAAAGGAGGCGAACACTGTTTTTTCGAAGAGAACTTCCACGATGCTCTTGTTTCCGCCCTCCACTGACCGTGTTTCTAAATTGACCGCACGAACGGTTTCTGCTTTTCATGAGCTTCGACTCCACCTGTGGAGGTCAACGACTGGTTGAAGGAGCACGGCCAGGTGGGGATCTTCTGCCTTTTGCTAAGCGAAAGGTGTAAGTGATGGTTTCGATCGTGACAGAAGGTGGTCCCCCCAACTGGCCTCAAACGTTCGAATCGAGGCACCCCTCGCAGCGGATCCGAAGTCTTCTGCGTTCGCACCAATCAGATGAATTGCATTCATCCCAAGCCAAGCAGAGCAGACATCCTGGAAGGAATGGCCATTTGGATCCATTTCTGGGGACCCAATCTGCAGTGATCGGCCAATGGTTTTCAGTTCAGGACTTGGGACAGTTGTCTCTGATGCCTCTTCCGATCGATGGGGGTCTGAACCGGTTCACGCAGGACTACAAGGTGCTGCCACCCAGCCCGGCCGTGCCCAAAGACGTGGTTTACACCAACATCGCAAGAGACTTGTCCTCAAGAGAAGTCACGGAGATGTGTTGGGGGTTATTTGGTGGCTTTTGGTGGCATTGAAGCAATATTTGGGTCGCGCTCCTGCTCCTGATCTTCCACTTTAGGACAGTGGATGGACCAATTTGACCTAAGTCTCCCATTGTGTCAGGACTCACTGGAGAGCCCCAATCCACTTTTTGGTTCCTGAGACGACACATTCAGAGGTCCGGTTCCAAGATGTTCCGAACTGAATGGTGTGGATGGGGCGGAGTAATTGCGCCTTTGAAGTCTTTTGCTGCAGTTTTGATGGTGGTTTTGGCCGACGTTGCAACCTTGCACCCCGAGAATCTGCGCGTTGTTGAACGTCATCGATTATCGATGTATCGACTCGAGCCAGAGGATGATTTGCGGGCATCAACCAGTAAACAGGGCAGTATGCCGAACTTATATAATCTACATGCATGGCTGAGGGCTCTCCACTCTCCAACTATCCGCATAGGCTCCAAAGAGACGCAAACTAGTCGACTTCCTATTCATTCACCTCTCAAGACCAGCAAGGGCATCGCTTTCTTAGCTAGGAGCAAGAGGACGCTACGAAAGGAGGGGCGCTCTTCCTGGCCTGAAGAACCTAATTAGTCACCAAGGGCATTACTTGTAGCATTCTTGCGAACGTCACAAGAAGTTCCTTCACCTCTCAACCCCAAACCGTGGTCGGCGCAACCGGACGGAGGATGCGTTGGCTCCTTAGACCTAGCTGTGACGCGGCTCGGCTGCGGATGGGCTTGGTTGTGTGGTCGGCTGCAGCGCGCTTCCCCAAGTGGTTGCAGATGGTTGCAGGGTTTGGTCGGGAAAGGCATTGAGTTGGAATACTCTCAGCTGAACATGCTTTGGTGGACCTGAACAGTTCCAAGCAATTAAACGCCTCAAACCACCATCGGGGATTCCACAGCGAACTGCATCCTGCATGCTCACGCAACTGCCGCGATTGAATCGCAACCCAGCGATCCCCACATTTGTTGCTCTTAAGGGTGTCCATCATAGCCTGAAGCATACAGGCACCTGTAACCACCTGCCCTTTGACCTGGAGCACCTCGCGTGTCCTTTCAACCTGCAAACCTACATGTCCCACGCGATTTCATCCCCAGCCACCTGCTTTCAACCTCCCCCCGCAGGTTCTCTTGGGTGGGCTCTAAGAATGCATTTTCTGCAACTGGGAGGTCTCTAACATGTTTGGCCTCGTTCGAAGTCACGCGGCCTCGTTTTCAGCTCTTCTGATGTGTCCTCAGTCTATGGCGCCATCCACACGCCGCGTGCGAGGTGTCACGGCATTGACCCCATGTCACGCGTACGAAGTGAAGGGGCTTCCGACTCGGAACCGAGAAACCACTCTTTTGAGATCAATCCCAAAGATCCTAGCTATCTCGAGCACGGTCGCACCCATCTTCCCCATCTTTGATCGCTCGTTCGTGTCGCTCTTTTGTTCGCGCCACGAAGCTTCGAACGGCGAACGCGCCGAGGTTTGTCATGAAGTCGGCTGTGATCATCGCAGCGCCTGGGACGTGGAAGCGGACTTTGGACCTGGGCCGATTGGTGCGTCGGGACGAAGACGCAAAGACATGATTCATGGCACACTCCTTGCTACTTCGCGGGTCCCTAAACAGAGGCTTGGGGTTTTGAGCGAAAAGCATCCAGCGAATGTGGTCCTGAAAAGACAATGACGGAAGAGGTGCTCTCAGCGGCCTCAGGATCGCTTGAGGATGACAGTGTTCGGTTGCAACCGCAGATCGAATTGATTGTACAGGGCTTAGTGCGTAGAGAATAAAGTGGCATAAAGTGGCACACAGCCAGCAAAATCATCACAGACTCGAGAAGTTTGCCTATGACATTCTTGAAAAGGAGGTACTGTACTTTTCATTCCCGACCGTTTCAAGAAGGGAGTGGAGATTTCCCGACCGTTCGGTGGCGGTCTGAAACGCGAAAAGCGATCTGAAAAAATGAGAGAAAAAGAGAACCGGCCATGATAACTCTAATAGCGATGGCCTCCAACCTGAGAGCGATGGCCTTCACCCTAATTGCAATGGCCTACCACCCTAGTAGCGATGGCCTCCAACCTAGACGCTGATGGGAAGCCGCTGCGGAGTTCCCAAAGGATTATCATGGCTACACTCTCTGGAATGATCGTAGGCCAACGTCAATGGCCCTGCTTGCACGACCAATTTCCTCCTACAAACCGGTGGTAGTCCACTTCCGTGATGATTCTAGGGAGTGTAGAGTTCGTTGTTCAAGTCCGATTTGCTTCCCTAGCCCGAGCAAGCTCGTCCACAGGACAGCACTGTGGACTGTTCTGAAGAGGAGCTCATCGATGAGGACGACAAGCGTGTTTGCCACTGGGTGAGTTCAGTATTCCGTCTCCGCGAACCCCAAGTAGATGGACCCAACTCTTGTGTAGTCACCCGTCTGTTTTAAATAGGGAGACCCCAGGCAACGACCCCCTGGAAGAAGGAGAAAAGAATGAAAAGACCAGCCTACCCCGCCAGGATCAGGAGGTCTTCCTCTTAAAATGCAAACCTCAACTGTTTGTTTCCTGGGTTCGCTAATCTCCAGGGTTTAGCCTTTGGATCTGCATTCGTGTGAAACACTTGCGTCCAGTGTCCAGAGTCTGCATAGTTGGCTGACATTTCTGAAGTCTTTTTGTCCCAGTCTATTTGGGTACTTGAGGGAGAACGGGTTGGACAACTCGGAACCAAAGGCACACTGGGAATTTTTGCTTTGTTAGTCAGTCGTTTGTCTTTTGGAAGTGTAAACCCCAGTCGAGTGATTATGCGGTTTTGGCCTAGACGATAGCTTGGTCTGGTATGACGATAGTTCGATGCTTCTAGGCATCGCCCTCTTTTGCATTGGCTAAAGCAGGATTGCACCTGGACCACTCGCGAAGCCGAGAAGATGGGGCAGTGCTTGAAAATAACTCTATAGTTCTGGCTTTGGTATTACTTGCTACACATTTATTGTGGAATGATTTCGCGGGTACACCAGGTCCGAAGGTTCAAGGAGCACACTCTGAGTTTGGTAGACAAACAAGAGGAGTTTCGGCCGCAAGTAGACAGGACTTCGGCCGCATCTTCTTTTTTTTGGGGGTTTCCCAGTTTCACACTTCCTGGATTGGTGGACTTGGTTTGCCAGTCACATCCCATACACCTTTGGTGGCACCCGGATCGGGTGTTTCCACACGGGATCCGCTCCGCTCCGCTCCAGAACTTCCTCTCTCACATCATCTGGATGCCTTAAAAGAGGACCTTCTTGTTCGCGACTGCTGTCCTTCTTGAGATCCCCAAATCCTGATCCCGACGTCGTCCTCGTGTCGGAGCCGCGTGTCACACGCAAAGAAACCATCGTTAAACCGCGGCAAATGCCGCGGTTTCACCGGTGTCATCGCGGCTTGATCCGAGGCGCAATCAACATCATCGGCTTGATGGGCACGTTGAGCCTGGCCACGCGCTTTTTTGCCTTGGCCCCGCGGTGTTCGTGGGAACTAGCGGGTGAGTTGTTCGTTGTTCGTATTTATTTTTGGATTGGGTGGGGTTTCGGTGGAAGCTGAAGCTGAAGATGTAGGGGAAGGTGGTTTCGGGGGAAGCAGAAGCTCGTGGACACTTGGGTGTGACATGGAATGTAGACTCTTTATGCATAACACTCCTCCATTTGGATTGTAACCCCCCTTAATATGGGGTGTTTGTGCTGGCGCCATCAAGATCGGTGCGTGGCTTGTCAGACTGACGGAAGCGAAGGGGAATAAAGGTTGGCCAGATTCTCCGAACACCCTGCACGTATCAGTCTAGATTGACTAGATGCACAAGTTTGCTGGGTCAACACAAAGCACTTCTTTCACCACAAATGAAACTAGCGCCGGTAGACTAATTACAGTATATATCTAGTCTGTCTGTTACATTCTGTTTATTTTTGACATTTTCACCAGAGGTTGACGACGGTTTCGACGATTTCTAAGCTGGATCTGAGAGCATTTAACTTGATTTCCGCTTGTGGACTGAACATCACGGAACCTTTCATTGCTTCACTCATTCTTTGCCAACACCACCGCAACCAAAAGCAGACAGAACTGCCAGAGGTTCGGTGGAGAAGGGGTGCGGTTTTTCTCTACTCACTTGGTGGCACCAAAACCCACACCAAGATAACCCAACTTGGAACTTCAGATGTTTGCTTTTACACAAACCGGATGGTCTTTGGGATGATTTGTTTGACCCCCAACTGGGTGGGGTCATTTGACAAACTGAGGCCTCCAATAGCTGTGTGGCCATTGTGGGAGATTCTACACCCCGAGCGGCCTGTGCAGCGGACATCGCTGGCATCAATGCAGGCGCATGTTAGAGTGCGCGCGCTGCGTCCGACTCAGCATCCTTCGTTTCATCAACTCCTTCGCAAGGTGTTGGCTCAACGGTCTCAACGGGTTTGTTTTGTCCAAAGTCATCTCAGTCTCTCTTGACAGATGTGGGGATCCATTCTTCTATTTTTTTCACGACGAAGTCGTTGCAAACTCGGACGAGTCATTGATCTTTCTATCCTGGTCTCCTTGGTTCCAAGTGGGTAACAGAAGCGTTCCTCCCTGAACACGTCACCGCATGGGCGAAGTTCATCTCTAGACTCTTGACTCAAGACTGGAGGATTCTTCCACACTCCCAACCCACAGCCGCACCGAAGACCAACATGTGGCTTGATTGAAAAACCCATCCGACCCCCCCAAAAGCACCATCAGGTTTCGGGATGTTTTGGGTGCAAATCCCTCACCCAGTTGCAACACAAACGTTCCGCTCCTGGCCACCCATGCTGCCGGCCACATGGTATGCTCGATCCGTGAGTACCGAGCCACTTGGCTGGAGACTTGCCACGTGTGTGGCCTGGTGGGACACGTGACGGGTACGAGGAAAGTATACGAAAGTAGGGCTGGCTGACCCTCATAGATACCTCTTCAGATCCAGGCACCTTCATTCCTTACTAAGCACCACCATCAGATGTGGGATGAGGAACACGGCGAGGGGTTTATGCAACGAAAAACGGCCACGGCGAACGGCCACATCGACTCAGCCGGTGGTGGTCAATGACTCTTCCAAGATTCCTTGCGCATTTCATCTGACTGGTGCGAGTCGTAGGGAATAAGGGAAGTTTCGCTCCCAATAGAGATTCCGCAATGGATCCAACCACTAACAAATCAATTACTAAATGTATACTTCGCTATTAGGTTGCAGGCCATAGCTACTAGGTTGGAGGCCATCGCTACTACCCTACTTTCGTCGCACAGACGCAATTCATTTCGGATGAGTTCAGCCGGTGGGAGTCGATCACTGGAGCAGAAGCGAAACGATCCGTCTGAATTTTTCCCCAAACAGTTTGCTGTTGGGGTTCTATCTTAGAAAAATAGAGCTGGCCACACTCACTGGCCGCGCCCCTGAACTCTGTGGCTGGGCTCTGTGGCCCGGCTCGGGCGTGCAGTTCCCAAACAGCTGGAGGCTTTAGAAAAGTATACTTGCATTCGTTTCCACCAACATTGGAATTTTCGGAGTTGACGCCGACGCCGAAAAAATGCAGACGCTGCTTGGGGTCTATGCTGGTATAATTTGTTTGCCATGTAGGAAGTGGGTGATGATAAAACATGATATATAAACGGATAAACGCCGCGTGGCTGAATGTTCCGGACACCTCTAACCGAACCCCTCAGTCCAAGCATACACATCCTGTAGGCGATCCTGTGGCCAATCCTGGCCAATCCCGAGCGCATTCCTCCCGTAGCTGTGGGCCCTTTCTGAGAGCCGAGCCCAGAGGCTCGCTCTGGTAGGTTCCATACAGTTCCTTCGAACCTACTGTCCTTCTGCTGTCATCAAAACAGTCTGCTGTACTTGCTCCATTCGCAACACGTACCAACCCATCACCCTAGGAAGCTTCCACTCACGTGAAAATGGGGCCTTGGTATGCCTTGGTTATCTAGGTGCAGACCATGTTTCGACGTCGAGGTTTCGTTCGTTTCACGTGTCCATCACTGGACCATGCGAGCTTTACGCGCGGGCTTGACCAAGTGAGTGACCCTGAGGCTGACACGGGGGCCGAGCTGCGGGCGTCTTCGTTCTGGTCGATGGCCTGACACGGGAAGCAGACCCAGTGCTTCGATCGCCGGCAGTGCTGCAGTGGTGTCACCGAGATGATGTGGATAGGAGGTTGGATGGGTTCATTTCAGCAGCAAGAGTGCAGCTCTTTGAAGGGTAGACAATTCCACTCGAATCTGGAGTGTTGATAAAGGGGTTTAGATTCTCCTGTAGACTCCTTCGCAGCCAACATCCGAGAGCGGCCAGTTTTGGACCCATGAATCACAGGCGTTCCTGGCGACTCCCGACCTGGCCCCAGGGCCAGTTGGTGCCGACACCGAGCCGTGCAAGATAACCTGGGCTTCCGAGCCCAGGTTCTCGCGCAAGAAGGGGAAGAAAGCTGCGCGCACCTCTGCGTCCCGAGCCAGGGAGGAGTCTGTCATCACCCAGGAGACGTGGTGGGGGAGCTTGTGAGAGCAGATGCGGCGATGTGGTTGTCGATCTTGTTGGGTTGGTGGGGTGAAGATGGCTGAAGGGTTTCTTGCGGAGTTGTTCAGGATTCTTGGGTCTCAGACAGGCGGTGTCTTCATCAAGGATGCCATGCATCAGCACATCGGTGGTCAGTGGGTTCAATATATACTTTTGGATCCATTTAGTATTGACTGTATTCCCAGAGTGAGCCCAGGTATGCACGCAACATTGGCAACAGAACATCTTCTTCATCTTTGGGGTGGGTTTTCATGTGTTCATTTTGTTCCCTCTCGGAGGTCTTTTTCCCACCAACTGTTGAAGATGAACTTGTCTCAGCTGTCAGGAGACGATCAGGATCTTCGCTCCTTGGCTGCACGAAACCCACCGTTCAAGGAGTTTTCGGCGACCGAGGCACCCGAGGACGACGACGGAGGGAGGTGTCGAAAACGCTTGGAGATGGCCGATAGGAGAGACCCGGGAAGCAGACTGGAAGAAACACGTCAGCAAGGCACATGAGGACCTGGGAGCTCCTTTTCAATCTTTTTCCAATTTCGTGCAAGGTCGAGGGTCGGCCGAAAGGAATTGGATGCAATTCGGCTTGCCGCAATTGGATGCAATTGGTCCAAGCAGCTACTGTATATTTAAATAGCAGGTCCTTTACATTATCCAAATCAACCTCAACGCGCGAAACCAGTGCGCCGCGAGGTTTCTGCAGGGTTGGAAACACAGTGCGAAGAGAACAGGGGTTGCTCACGTGCGAGGATGCAAATGAATGCAGAAACCGCCCTGGCAAGCGAAAGTTGATCTTTGTTAATTGTGAGTGTTTGCCCTACGACTTCTACGATCTAGAATTGCTTGACACTGCCTGAGGTGAGATACCTGTATCATTCTCTACTATATCGGACCTGTATCATTGCTCGAGTTGCGAACAAGATTTTGCCATGACACAACGACCACTTGAACGGCGCTTCCGCATGAAGCTGCGTGGTCCTTTTCCGCTGAAACCGCCTGTTGGCCCGGCAGTGCTCTCACAGCAACGAGGTGGGGAATGGGATTTTCCTGGGCTCCTTCCTGGCGCCCTGGCATTTTCTGCCAGTCTTCCTGGATTCGAAGATCGCGGCGGACCCCGCGCTTCCAGGAACTGGTGACCCGGGGGTGGTGGTTTTTGGAGGGAGAACTGCGGGATGGTTTGTCTTCTGAGGAGAAGGTGGGTGAGTAGGTCGATCTGGGTCGCTCCTTCATCTACAGAAAGGAGAATGAGATCGGGGGTGATCTGTTCGGTGATCTGTCGTTGTTCTGGGTGATCTGTTGGGGTTCCAGTTGCACCTCGCAGAACCATGGAAGCGGTGTAAGGAAGGTGCCAGCGGGGAAGAAAATGAAGCTTGTGGGCAGTGGAGGCAGGAACTTGGACCCTTTCCAGGAACCGAAGCTGAGAGAACTGAGCTTTCCCTCTGGCCTTTTCGTTGAGTTTTTCTATGATCCGGTCAGTGTGCTCATGAAAGCTGCTATGACCATGCTTTCGAGAGCGACACCTGTGGAGGCTTCAAATCGTGAGACGCGTGGCTTGCTCCCTGAGATTTCTGAAGGTGCGTGGAATATGTTGGGACATGTGCGACACCCGATTCTTCACCCCGAGAGAAACGACGATTCAGCACATTATTCAGACCAGGGTTGTGCCATCCTTTTTGCCAAACTGAATGCCATGCGAGTCATGAAAATATGGTTGATACATTATGATACATTGCCAGGTACTGGACAGGCATTGGCTGGCATATTTTGTGGAGGTGGCAATACCTATGGGGTTCCACCTACGCCTGTCCTCCACCCAACGAGGTGAAACCCAAAGTGGCTGGCATAGTGATTTATGCCTTTTCAACCATCAGCGATGGCCTCCAACCTACTAGCTTTTTGTTCCTAGTAGTAATGCCAGGAGCTACTAGTAGCTTCTTGATCCTAGTAGCGATGCCCTTGTTACTACTAGCTTCTTTGTTTCTAGTAGGCCTCCAACCAATAATCCTCTATATTGGCATATATTGGCTTCCAGGACTCACCCAAGCGACTTTGCCGATCACCACCACTGCCGCTTTGCGCGCACCTAGACATGTGACACTCTCGGACCTGATTCTTTTTGGAGCATGGTGGTCAGCCGAATCAGCTAGGTGGTGGCCAGGTGGCGGTGCCCACGAGGCTGTTTTGTCCGAACTGGGGTGCGCCAGATGTTTAGTGGGTGGCTTGGTCCGAACGACTTGGTCCTCCCAACCGTTGGACGAGACATGGACGAGACAAAAAAAAAAGCCCTACAAGACAGTAGGGGGAAGAAATGAACGAAGCACATACTCGCACTATCTTTGAATCTTTCATTCAGAAGCAGTTACCTGCCTCAGGATGGGTGCAACTCCGGGCAAATCAAGCAACCAAACCATACAACTCCCACCACTTATCGCTTTTCACCACAAGCTCATTGGCAAAGTCACTACAGTGAAGGAAGTCGAAACAACCGGGACCCCCTTCCTCTTCTGGACGAGGACCTCCCCTCTGGTGGGGAATTGTCCTCCCCTCTCCGCTGCCAGACTCCTGTAGCATTGTTTTATTATTGGTTAATTTTCGAGATATTCACACATGGCCTGCTAGCAGCTAGCAGCTATCCAGGCATAAGCAATGTGTGAATTTCTGAAGCCTCAACAGAGAGGGACCATACACCGACAAAATGTACAGACGTGTATTTCGATTTGTAAATTTTGGAACATTCACGCAAGAACATGTAAGATTGTTTTTGCAAAGAACACATATGGACAAATAACGAACATAATCT